AAATAGATGGGGGATAAATCCGGCAGCAGCAGTAATTGTTTGCAATTTACTTGCTTTTTGCCAACCAAAGCCGGTGCTTTCCTAGAAGGCGCTTACGGAGAAACACATGCAGCAGCGAGAGAGACAGGCCGACGGGGACACACTGGGGGGAAAGGCAGGAACGGCAATGATTGGCCGGGGAAAGGGGAGGGGGAAGGGAAGGGGAAGGGACGGAGAGCTTTTTAGTTATTGTTTTAGTGTGTTTCCGAGAACCGCCACCAGTCTGCAGCACTGTTCGCAAGGCCCACGGCACGGCAAGGCACGGCCTGCAGCTCTTTGCAACCGTAAAGATCCCTTAAACTGTTTCCGACGGGCCCAACCCGTCCGTCCCGGCGGCTCTAACTGCTTCCCAGAAAAATAAGCAGACGTCGACGCCAAAAGCAGCAGCACCGCGAGGTTGGCACCACTGCATGCCACTGCGGGAGTCGTGCAGTGGGTACACCGCCATAACCGGGCGGGCCTGGCGGGCCTGGCGGGCAGGGCGTGCTCTCCATTCGTACCCATTCGCGCCGATAGGTTGCCCATCCTGGTTCAGCTGCTCCCGGATCCTCATAAGTGATTCCCTAACGACTGGTCAGTGCAAACAACCCGACCGGCGCCAAAGTCGCCACCCTCTACACACTACATGTTTATGTTCTTTCACTGTCCGCATACAGAAACTACGTGAAATTTAATACATAAATAAGGGACAATTTTTCAACATAATGCCTAATTTTTTTTTCAGTAAAATTGTATCTAATTTATGTACAAATTTGTACATAACTCACATATGCACAAATATGGCGCTATGGACAAAAAGTTCGCATGCATTTAGCGAGTAGACTGCTGTCCTTCCCCATCTGACTCCTGCGACCTGCATTCTAGACTGTCCTCGTAGAGGGAATTTGGCGGGCCCCTTCCCCGAAAGTGGCTCAGTGCTGCCAATACCACCAATGACGCTTTCCCACACAACCGTGCGAATAGGCTCAGCGTCGTTAACCTCCTTGCTCTGCGAATAGTGGCCTCCTTGCTCTGCGAATAGTGGCACTGCGCTGCGAGGCACCGCGTTTCCTGGAAGTATTCCGCGTGCTCTATCATATCGAGACATTGTCTCGCAGCAGCAGTTGGCAACAATGGCACTGCGATATAAACCATGCGTAGCAGGAAGGCAGCGGAGAGAAAGAACTGTGCCAGCGGCAAAACAAGCGGCTGAAAAAAATTCAATTGAGAATTTAAAAGTTCCACTCTTAGCCTTTTACTGATTCATTTCTCATTAGTAGACGCATTTCTGTTAGCAAATATGATTACTGGTATTTTTTCCTAAGTATCCGTCAGAAGTCGCTAGTTACTGTGCTTGCTATTTTTGGTTGTCTAAATAATTTTTTTTAGAAATTTTTAAATATTTCAGATGGAGATAAAGTATCATGTTTGCTTACGGGAATACATCTGTTAGGTGCTGAGAGTGCCTCAACTTGACAGGCGGGAACTGCTAAAGGACAATTGACACACACACACACTTTTTTTTCGGACCCTTGATAGCCACCTCAAAGGTAGAAAAAAAGCCTCACTTTTACTCCTTTAAGTAGGCAAAAAGTGCTGCTTTGGAGCTACCTTGGGCTGGGGCTCTGGATCCATCGGGGAAACTTCGAACAATCTGTTGGCCGTCTCCACAGGTTTGGAGCGTGCTGTGGCGTTGCGCTCGGTCGGGTCAGACGAAGGCTCAGCCAAAGGGTTGTCCAAGTTATTATCGATTCTATGAATAATGGGCAAGTTGGCGGGCCTGCGCTTTATGCTCGCGGGACACGACATGCAGTGCGTGTTTGGACTGACCTGTGGCGCCACGCTGCTGAAAGGGGGAACCACTGGCTTTAAAATGGAATTGGAAAAACGAAAATTTTAAAATAAAATGAGAATAAAAAGCGTTGGGAGAGACACGCCGCAGTAAGCAACTCCCTCGAGTACGCACTACTTCTCAATTTTTGAATTATTTTATCCCACAGTCCCTTTTCCTCATCACACACATACACACTCGCACACATATTCATGCATGCGCCCATTCACACACACACACACATACACACACACACACACACACACGAGCACACGAGCACACCTCTAAAAGCTCACGAGAGCAGCCGCGGGGCAACGCACAGTCGTCAGCACAATCATTACCGTCCCTTATCACTGTTGTGATCTCCGCACAGATGTAAAGTGATATTACCATTTCAAATGAAACTTTGTCTGTGCGCGCGCAATTGCACAATTACAATTACCGGCTTCTTGACCCCAGCCAGGTACTCGCACCGCGCACCCGCATCGAGTACTCGCCGTCAAAGTGTGGATATCTTCGAACTTCCCAGAGCGGAGTAAAATTCTCCCACATGGACGACGTAAGCGGAGTTTTCTCTCCAGACTTCAAGTGTGGACTTTTCTGTCTCCGCACTTCAATGTGGATTTTTTCTGTCACCGCACTTCAAGTACGGACTTTTCTGTCATGACATGAGGGCGCACTTAACGACTATTTGCTCATCGACACGCTGCCATTGATTTTTCCGATCGGCGATCAGGTTTGGCCGAGGGTTTGGCGGGCCGATGGTGTCGGCCATGACTGCCTCTGCGCGTGGCCGCGCCGCGCCAGCCCGTCCCAGCCCGCGCACGGCAGCAGCCATTTTGTCCCAAAGTGACAAATTGGGAATTACGGCGCCGTGATGGAAGATAAGGATCTGGCACGGCGTTGCCGGACAGCACACTGTGAGCGCTGCGGGCTTTGTTTGGCTGGACAAGGGCAGAGCGACCAGGCTGCGGCCACAGTGGGCCAGAAGACCGGCGGAGGCGGACAAAATTCTAGAAGCGTTTTGAGCTCCAGAGTCGCTGAATGGGACTCGAACCGAACGTGTGACCCCACCAATGGATTGCTCTCCGTACGAGGAATCCAGTGGTGGGGTCACACGCTCGGTTCGAGTCCTTTTCAGCGACTCTGGAGTTCAAAACGCGTCTAGAGTTTCGGCCGCCTCCGCCGGTCTGCTGCCCCACTGTCTGTCGGCTTCCTTCCGACAGTGTAGCGCATTCTGATTGGTGAGAGGGTCGCAGGCTCGCTGCAGGGTGGCCGGCGAGAAGCACCTGAAAATAAAATGATGGTCACATCGGATGATCGCGCTCGGCCAGCCGAGCGATTCAGGAGATTGGTTTGTCGCTCTGTCTCTCTCGCACCCTCCTGAGAGCCCCGTGAGTGCGACAGAGACAGAGCGACGAAACGACTCTTCCGAATCGCTCGGCAGCGCGACGTGAATAAATAAAGGAAAAAACACGGTCATCACCCGCGGCATGCCCGCGGCATCGGAGGGGCGCCATGATAGCTGTCATTTCGAAAATTTCGACGCCAATCAAAATATTTAGCCTCATTTGATCCAATTTTGGAGGCCACGGCCTGGGCAGGGCCAGGACAGGGCCAGGGCAGGGGCCGCACAGTGCGCCAGAAGACCGGCGGTGGCGAGGCGGCTAAAACTCTAGACGCGTTTTGAGCTCCAGAGTCGCTAGCCAAGCAATCTATTGATGGGGTCACACGTTCGGTTCGAGTCCTGCTTTATGACTCTGGAGCTCAAAACGCGTCTAGAGTTTTGGCCGCCTGCACCGTTCTGTAGAGCCCTACATTACTCCTTCGGGGGATGTAGGACTCTACCGTTCTGGCGCCGTAGCTAGGCAGCCCATCGAGCGCCGTGCCAGTTGGGCTGCCTAGCCTCCGGGCGTCCGGCCGGCTAGTGGCAGCGGCGGGCAGGCCGAACGAACAACGAACCGCGTCGATGGATCGGCGTGAATGGCGAAGATTGCGACCATGCAGGCCACGTCACCGGCCAGGCTCGCCGCCCCGCCAGCGAGTGCAAGAGAGACGCGCTCGGTTTGTGAACGGGAAGGGGCGTTCAATCAACCGGCCGGCTTTTTATCATTTCGGGGGTCCCTGGTGTGATTCTGTTTCGTCGCCCTGTCTCTGTCGCTCTTACGGTGGGCCCCGTGGGAGTGCGAGAGAGACGGGGCGACGAAATCGCTGTTGGGAATCGCTCTGCAGTGTCCCCCCGAAGGTCCCGAAGGTCCCGAAAGAGGCGACCGGGCGGGCCCTCAACACGGCGGGGACCGGGGCCCTTTCTAACGAGCCAGACGGGACGGACGGCGTCCTGGTCTCTGCCGAGCGGTTCGGAAGGTCGCTTTGACGCTCTGTCTCTCTCGCACCTTTCTGGAGAAGCGCACGGGTGCGAGAGAGACAGAGCGACGAGTCTGCCGGTAATGACGCTCATGGCGCGACGGGCCGGGATGGCGGGGACTGGCGCCGCGCGCACCCAGCCTCCCTCGTCGCTCTGTCTCTCTCGCACCCCCACGGGCCGCCTCATCAGTGCGAGAGAGGCAGAGCGACGACGGCGCCTCCCGGAGTGCGCCCGCAGCGCAGCGCCACATCAACACATTAGAGGAAATTACGTTCGCCTGCAGGGATTCCTTTCGGTACAAAGAAAACGACAACTCCGGGTAAGGAAGGCTCATCCCTCTTCTAGAGGCCCACATCGTAAAGCGGTGACGAGTTTGCTTCGCCTCGGAGCGGGGTTCGAGTACCGGCGAAGTTAGTTTGGTTTTTGGGCGCTCACAATGACACCCTCTAGACCGATGAAGGGCCGCGTCCATTCCTGCGGCTTGGCTTCAGTTGAAACCTTGACAATTATTATCTATGATGAGACCCTCTTGGACAGAATTATAATAAGAGACTGGCGACAGTAGGAATTTTAGCTAGTTTTAATCAGGAAATTGCAGGAAATTGACTCTTCTTGGATTTGAAATGCAACATAGACATATTTCTACACTGTATCTTATGCCTCTTCTAAGCAAAGAAACGGAGCGCGATCCTTTCCTTTTCATTTCATTCATTTATTCATCCACTCATTCATACGTCAATTCAAATGTTGGCGCCAGCCTGGTTTTGAGTTGTGGCAGAGCAATTTCTCATACACGCCTGCTCGACGTCCCCCCTCTCTCCCTTCTGTATCTCCCCACCCAGCTGGCAGTCAGGGGCTCACGTCCATGTGTTGACTTTCTTTCAATATTTTCCTGCCTTGCCATTATTTACCCAGGTATGCAAAGAAATCTGTGATTTGGTTTGTCTCTGCGTATCAAAACGATTGTTCCACCGAGCTGTTCTTTGATGAGATACGCTTTTGACGCACTTTTGTAGGTAGACGGGTAAGGTTAGGTTTACGTTGGCTGTGTACACCGGCTATGATATGTGCGTTTATTTCGTTTCAAATATCGTTCTACTCACGGAATTATTTCATCTCCAGCATTACCATTAAATTTTCTTCTTTAAATTTGTGCTGGCAAGAAGTTTCATGAATATTGGCAATCAATGTCATTTTTGCATTCTGTTGCTTATTACCCAGTCATCTATTTTTAATCACTGAAGTTCATACAATATTTCACATTATTTCAGAGCTAATTTTTGAAAGGACGTCTCATAACTACCTTGGGATGACAAGTGTGAATCAATGTTGGCTTGTCAGCCTCTCCTACCCAAAACACATCCTTCATCGCTATTTTAAGTATGTTACGTGTTCTTTCCCATGAGCATTTCATCCCTAATAGGATGATAGCCAAGGCAGGCTTGCAGTTTTTGTGCCTGTTTCTCTTTATTTTACCATTCTTTAGACTGAAGCATCAGGCTTTAGAACTCTTGGTGCTGTATGATGCCACATCATGCAGTTCTGGGTAATTGATTTTGGCCCTGAAGGCATGATCTCCATCTGATGGCCTGGACTTATGGGTGTGGCTCTGGCAAAAGGAGTACAATTCGCATACTCTATTCATCTTCATCATTATCCTGATGTGTGTTATTGACTCCAAGCAGAAAGGGAAACAACTCCGTGAAATGTGAACCTTGGGGCTCCTGCCTGCTTCCTTCATCCTTAGTCTTTGGCTCTCTTTTTGTTTTGATCCCCAGGCTCCTCTCATTTGCATACCAACCCCACTTTCCCTCCCCTGGATTGTAATTATGGTTTTTGCCTCTGCAGACTCACCTGTCCTCTCCAGAGTTTTGTAATGGCTATTGATGTCACCGAGTTTTCATGCTAGAAGTAAATATTGATGTCTGTCTTTTGGTTGTTTGCAGGCCTGAGTCATGCCGCCCAAAAAGGTTCAAGAGCCAGAAAAGAAGCCCTTCATTGGTAGAGTCGGTACCAACCTGAAGGTGGGCATTGTTGGTGTTCCCAATGTCGGAAAATCCACATTCTTCAATGTTCTGACCAAAAGCCAGGCGCCCGCAGAAAATTTCCCTTTCTGCACCATTGATCCCAATGAGAATAAGTATCTCCAATTGTTTTTTCTGTGAACTGTACCCTTCCACATTCTCCTTTTGCATCTATGAATTTCTTTATTAGTGCAGCCATCCATTAAGTTAACCTCAGGAATTTTATTTTTTTGTCCTAGCACGTCGTGTTCCTGTGCCAGATGAGCGCTTTGATTACCTCTGCAACTTCCACAAGCCTGCCAGGTAAAAGGCAAAACTTAATACCATTGTTGAAAGTGTTATAGTGTGTCACCCAAAACTATATTTTATTTTTGAAATTATTTGCTTTGGATAATTGAGAGTGGTGTTTCTTTGTCACTACTTTGCAGCAAGGTGCCAGCCTTCCTGAATGTGGTGGACATTGCTGGTCTGGTGAAGGGAGCGGCCGAGGGCCAGGGCCTGGGCAACGCATTTTTGTCACACATCAAGGCTTGTGATGCCATCTTCCACCTTTGCCGTGAGTATCAAGTATGAACATGCCAACATTACTGAGTGGCCACTGGCAATTTTCTCCATTTCCCTGCCCCTCTCTCGCCCGACCTCCTCTCCTCACTGCCCCCTTGCATCCACTCCCCCCCCCCCGGAAAAAATATCCCTTTCTCCCTCTTCTCTTTATTCCCTCTCCCCTCTGTTTTCCCGTCCGTCGATCTTCCTCTCCTTCTCACTCCACCATCCTCTTCCCTCCCCCCTCCCCTGTCCCCCCTCCCCTGTCCCCCCTCCCCTCCAATCACCGGAAGCAAAGCTCGGTCCCGCAAGAGGCAATTTGCCTGGACGAAATCGGTCGTTAAACGAGCAAAAGATGTCCTGAAAGGTGTTATTGTCTAGTGGTCTTTGGTCACCCGCCCGACGCTGCCAGGGTGCCTCAGGCTGCACCCCTGGCAGTTTCTGTGTGTGAGGGCATCCAATTTTGTGTCTGATTTTATTTTCTTTGCTTCTCAGGTGCCTTTGACGATGATGATGTCACCCATGTGGAGGGTGAGGTTGACCCCGTGCGTGATTTGGAGATTATCAATGAGGAACTGCGGCTGAAGGATGAGGACTACCTGACCAAAACTTTAGACGGTCTGGAAAGAACTGTCATCAGAGGAAATGACAAGAAAGGAAAACCAGAATATGTAAGTTCAAATGTTTGAAATTTAGACTATTGTTTTTCTGGAGGGAATCGTTACGGATTATTTTTGATGACTTGGCACTTTTCTTCTTAGGACACGCTTGTTAAAGTTAAGGAGCTCTTAGTTAATGAGAAGAAGCACATTCGTTTTGGAGACTGGAGTGCAGTGGATGTGAGTTCTATACCTCTGGAACATTGTTTAGTACATTTATACCTCTATGCTGTGATTAACATCAATTGTTTTTGTAAAATTCCAGATTGAATTTTTGAACAAGCACATGATGATTACTAGTAAGCCTATGATATATCTAGTAAATCTTACAGAGAAGGATTACATCAAGAAGAAAAACAAGTGGTAGGTGCAAAAAAGAAAAACTCATCAAATAAGCAACTTTTTAAGATACCATACTGTTTTCTGAGTTTGATTTTTTTTTTCTCTCTTTTCTCAGGTTGTTAAAAATCAAGGAATGGGTTGACAAGAATGACCCTGGTGCACTCATTATCCCCTTCTGTGGAACATTTGAACACAAACTTGTAGAAATGGAAGATGCTGAGCGAGAAGCTTACCTTAAAGAGCAGGGTACTACCAGGTATGCTTTTCTCTATGACATACTTTGGGCTTTATTTTTCTTGATAAAATTTGATAACACTTTTATTTTGGTTGTCCAGTGCTCTGGCCAAGATTATCGTCAACGGTTACAAAGCTCTGACACTTGAATATTTCTTCACTGCTGGCCCTGATGAAGTGAAAGCATGGACCATCCAGAAAGGTACCAAGGCTCCTCAAGCTGCTGGCAAAATTCACACAGACTTTGAGAAAGGCTTCATTATGGCTGAAGTCATGAAGTTCAAAGACTTCAAAGAAGAAGGCTCTGAAGCAGGTTGCAAAGTAGGTGCCCATGCATTAAGATGCTGTTTTGTTATTTTAGTATGCATCTCCCTTATTCAATAATAATGACACTTGTATACATTATTTTCAGGCTGCTGGCAAGTATCGTCAGCAAGGTCGCAACTACGTTGTGGAAGATGGTGACATTATTTTCTTCAAGTTCAATGCTGGAGCTGGTCTGAAGGATGCGAAAAAGAAGTGAGGGAGAGGTGTGTATGACAAACAATAATTTTTTAAACATTTGTTTGTTTTTTGATAAGTGTTAATTTTTTTCCAAAATTTCTTTTGTTTACAGGTTTGGCTGATTTTTAATGAATTTCCCAAATCTTTATTAAACCTGATTGTTATTTTGTGCACTTTTTCAACTAACTTATTGTGTTTCCAATTGATGCCGATCTACACAGCTGGACTGTAGCCTCTCTTACTCATGTGGAACTGACAACTGAAATGAATGTAAAACAACTTAAGCAGAATAAAATGGCAACATCATTTTTCTCAATTGGTGTGTATTTTATTACTAAAATTCTTTTTTTCATATCACCACAACAGGACATACCCTATGTCAACGTACACGATAGATTTGAAACTAGCATCTGTTTGGATTTTGTGGTCAATCTTTTAAACTACTTTTCCGTAACGATTGCTCCCTCTTGTGAATTGAGTGGGCAATCCGGTCTTCCCCTGCCTCGCCAGGCACAGGCAGTTTTTGCGAGTCCTCAAAGAACTGTTGCATCAACCTCTGCTTGGCCCACAGGTACAACTCGTATTCCAAGGAGAGTCTCTTCTCCACTCTCCGCCGCACGCCAGGCTTCAAATTGGCACTTACCCTATTCCAATTCGCATGGTGCTCTAGTCAGACAGATGCATCAAAAAATGAATTACTTGAGCAACAGGGACAAATAGTGTGATGATACCACAAAAGTAAGTTGGATGGCTCACCATGCAGCAGTCTGTGACGGTACAAGTCCGAGACGCCCGTGAAGAAGAGGGGCAGCCTCGTCTCCAGCACGGCCAAGGTGGCGTTGGGCTCCTCCAGAACGCCCACCACGGGGAAGTACTGGTCGATGTTCGCCTTGGCCCTCCGGAACGCCCAGTCGCCGTCCGGGTCCCTGCATGGCAGAGGAATCGTCGAGTTAGGAATGACTCGCTCGTCGCGAAGAGCGCCTGCAGGGTAGGCAGCCCAACGGTCACGCCTGCGCGGCGTGTGGCCTACCTGCAACGGCTGTCGTGGCCGCAGAAGTACGGCGTCTGAGGCTCGGCCCAGGCGCACTCGGGGCGCGGCGTCGACGCCAGGGACGCCAGGCAGCGCTCCAGGGCGGACAGCAGCTCCGCGTCGTCCGCGGCGCGCTGCTGGAGGCCATGATCGCCGTCCTGGACCTCCCGGACGGCCGCGGTGGCGGCAGCGCGCCGCCGTGCGCGTCGGGCGGCCCGGCGCTGGGGTGTGGTCATGGTGGCGGCCACCGCGGACGCAGATCGGTACCTGCGGGCGCGTTTATGTTGGCGTCATGCGTTGCGGAGTGCTACCGTATCGCCACTCTGTCTCTCTCGCACTCTCACGGGGCGCCCCATGCGTGCGAGAGAGACGACAGCACCATGAACGGAGGTGGCGTACCCTGCGATGACTCTGGCGACGGGGTCCCGCAGCAGGCCGACGTACGTGGGCGACTGCCGGTCGAACGTGGAGAAGTTGGTGAAGTAGACGGAGCCGTGGAAGGCCACCGGGACGGCCTCCCGGCGGAGGGTGTCCGTCACTTCGACGACCAGCTCCTCCTGGAGAGAGATGAGTAAAGAAAGAGGTGAGCGACTGAGCCAGGACAGAGAATGCTGCTCCACAGAGGGCCAGAGAAATTCTGGACGCGTTTTGAGCTGCAGTGTCGCTAACGGACTCGAATCGAACGCGTGACCCCACCAATGGATTGCTCTCCGAACGGGGAATCCATTGGTGGGGTCACACGTTCGGTTAGAGCGTCTAGAATTTTGGCCGCCTTCACCGGTGTTCTGGCTCACTGTGCACCGCATCCACACCGCAAACTCTGCACTTCCAAGTGCGGAGACTGCACGACGCCGCTGCCATTCCAGTGTGGAGTCCCCCGCATTGTTTCCCAGTGTAGTCACGCACCTGTTCCGTGGGCGACAGCCTCCCGCTGGACTTCCCCGGCAGCTGCAGCAGCCTGAAGCCGTTGGCGAGCTGCAGCCTCTGCAGCAGCAGGGACAGCAGCTCGGCGCCGGCGCGGGGAACGCGCGTCAGCAGCACGGCGTAGTCGCTGAGGCCGCGCGGCGCCAGCGGCCCCGCCAGCCCCAGCTCGGCCAGCGACCTGCAACAGCAGCACCACGTTGTAGTCGCACAGTGGGCCGTCAAGTCCCGGACGCGTTTTGAGCTCCAGAGTCGCTACGCAGGACTCGAACCGAACGTGTGACCCCACCAATGGATCGCTCTCCGAACGAGGAATCCGTTGGTGGGGTCACGCGTTCGGTTCGAGTCCCACTTAGCGACTCCGGGGACACTGACCGGGTGACGTGGCGGGGCGCGGGGGCCGCGCTCGCCGCCTGCTCGTGGCCGTCGAGGCCCTCAAGGCCCTCGAGCGGCGGCGCGGGCGGCGGCAGCTTGAGCGGCAGCGACCACCGGAGGCCCGCCCCGCCGAGCGCGGCCACGGCCAACAGCCACACCAGCGGCACCAGCACGGGCGCGGCGAGCACGCGGCGGGGCAGCGCGCGCGGCAGCAGGCGCCGCATCACGGACTGGGACTGCTTGGGCTGCTCGGGCACGGCGGTCGCGGCGCCATGGCCACCAGCAGCGCCACCAGCCCGCCTGCCGCAGCCTGAGGAGGCGCACAGAAAAAACGACAACTCAAAAACTCAGAAAAGTTAAACAGACTTTCGTTTTCTAATGGTCTATCACGCCAAGCCGTCAGCAGCATTCCACCCAGCACGCTTGAAACCTCACGAAATATTTTGAGCATACATAGTACAGACTACTTTGTTGTAACTAGCTGCTTTTCTTTGTAAGGCCTAAAATAGTTTGCAAGGTTTTCAGAGTGTGGATTTGCGTCCACAGTGAAAGTAAACGAGCAAAATAGAAGAAAGAGCAGCGGCAGCAACAACTGAAGCGACGAGTCACCAGAGCGTGTCTGCTTTGCCTCGCGGTTTCCTTCCCACGCCAAAGTGTCGCAATTGTTTTCTCAGCTCTTTAAATCGCCGTCAACGAGGCCGGGGAAACGGAAGCAGTTGCGCCGGGTGATTCTCGCGGACAAACAGACGGCAGACGGACGGACGAGCATGCAGACAGACAGACAGACAGTTTAGTTTATAGAGAGAATGGCAACAATGAGACAGACAGACACCCAGCTCGACGGGTGGACGGACAGACGGAAAGGATGTTTTATGGGGGATTTTGTAGGATTAGATGGGACTGTGTTTACTTTGTTACAACGAGACAGACAGCGAGACGGACAGACGGTCGCGGCGTGCCCCGCAACGCGTAGATCAGCTGCACTGATACACTGCTCATTCGCCACCGCGCTATTCTCATGCGAGTCTCGTATGAAACAAGGAAGTCCAGGCCGCGCCGTGCGACCGCCTCGCGCGCCTCGCCCGCCTGGAGACTGATATTATTCCGAGAGCCGTTTTCGTCGCTCTGTCTCTCTTGCACCTGTTTGGGATGTCCAAGGAGTGCGAGAGAGACGGAGTGACGGGACCAATACTGTCCGGGATCAGTCAGCAGCCGCCTGGCTCAGCTCCCGCGCATTGACACACCAGCGCGCTGGTATGTCAATGTGCGAGAGAGAAAGCGATGAGTAAGCACGCTTCGAACAAGTCGCCCGAGGCTGAGCAGTCAGCCGCCTCCAGTATCTATCAATCACCTAACGCGTCTGCCACGCGCGAGTGTGTGTGTGTGTGTGTGTGTGCGTGTTGCACGAGTGTGTGCATGTGTGTGTGAGTGTCCGCGCCAAAACGCGTGAGTGTCTTTGCTGATATGGAAAATTCTGATGGACGCATGCCAGCTGTTATGCTAGCCATGCCGATGGATTTGCTCCCACTTGTTCTACCACGCGTTGAAGTCTCCGCGCCACTGCCGCCACAGGCGTCGCCGACTCCTCCAAACCCGTGCGTTCAAATCCAGCCATTCTTATAGAGTTTTTTTTACGGTTTTTCCAGTGTATGTTAGCCGCGATGCTGGGCGTAACCCTCTTAGAGAATTAGGAGAGTGGTCCCGATGCAGTCCGCGCGGGCCGCGCAGACTCACTCCGAGAGTCGTTTTCGTCGCTCTGTCTCTCTCACTCTCACGGGGCGTCCCGTATGGGTGCGAGAGAGACAGAGCGACGAAAACGACTCTCGGAGTCGGACTACAGGGCCGGCCGGCCGGCTGACGGCTCCCATGGCCGTGGCCCCGCCGCCCCGCCGCTCGGAGCGCTCGGAGCGCTCGGCCTGATCGCTCGTGGCGCTCTAATTTAGAGCCAGAGCCACTCGCCGCTCACAACTCACTTGCAACACGCGTGGACCCACAATGTCGGAATAGCACGGCCCGTCTCGTCTGGCGCGCCGAAATATTCAAATGCCTACTCCGTGTTTCTGATGTTTTTGTGTGCTGATTTTGTGTTTGCAGTGCGGAAAACTTTGAAATTTTGTGCACCTTTTCATTTTTTTATTGTTCTCAGTCGAAACCTTACAAACTATTTTCCGCCTTGCAAAGAAAAGTAGCTTGTTTTAACAAAGTATTATTTTGAGCATACAAGCTTCACAAAGAAAATACCTCGTAATTTACGAACTATTTCTTCGTATAACAAAATTAGTTTATACTATGTATGTATCCTCTAAATGCTTCGTACGGTTATAAGCGTGTTCGAAGGCATCATTAATTTTAAGTTCATTCCATTTTCATGCGAGTTTCTTTTCATTGTATGTTCGATCGAACGTTTGAAATTTTGTGGTTCATTTTCCACTTTGATCATTTTTTTTTAAATTTTTTTTTTGTACACTTGGTGTTTCATTCCCTCGCACACACTGTCAAAAATTTGGTGCTTATTTTCACGGAATTTTGAGTTTTAGCTCTGCTCTGCACCCTGTGCGAATTTGGAGCCGCTCGCTGTTTACGTTCATAGCCTTTCCCGGCCGGCGGAGACGCGTTTCAAATAACTTTCTCCCGCGGCCCGGCGGCCTAGCCTGGCGGCCTACCGGTGTGGTGGCGCCTCGCCTGGACGGACTGGATGGCGCGGTTCGCGAAGGTGACAATGAGGTAATCAAGCAGAAAGGCCCGCGCCCCGCCCGTCGCGCCGCGCGCGCTGCACTACCGGAGTCTTTTGGCCCCGCCCCCCGCACCTATGACGGACTGGATTGGAGCAGTGCCGCTCGCGAAGGTGATTCTGAAATCAAGCCAGGAAACCCTACTCCCCTCCCCGGGGTCGCCTCCCGAGGCGGGCTGAAAGAGAAGGTTTTCAATCGTAGGGCCTCGAGGGACCTTTGAGCAGCAACTAAATTGGATGCAGTGACCGCTCAAAGTCAGTAAAAACGGTAATTTTCTGAAATTCATTCGCTTTTTGACCATTTTTGCGAGACCACTGCTCCCAAACTACCAGCGGTCAAAGCCTTCCCGAGGCGGGGCATGAAAGAGTAGGGTCTTTAAGAATAGTAAGGGCGTCGAGGGAGGCCTTTGACCGCAACTAAATTGGATGCAGTGACCGCTCAAAGTCAGCAAAAACGGTGATTTTCTGAAATTCATTCGCTTTTTGACCATTTTTGCGAAACCACTGCTCCCAAACTGCCAGCGGTCAAAGCCTTCCCGAGGCGGGGCATGAAAGAGTAGGGTCTTTAAAATAGTAGGGCGTCGAGGGAGGCCTTTGACCGCGACTAAATTTGACGCAGTGGCTGCCCAAAGTCACTAATATTGAGGTCAGCGCTCAAATAATCCCCAATATTTCCCAATAATCAACATTATAACCTCCTATAATCAGTGATAAATAATAAAATAGTCAAAAGAAATCACATGTAATCATACTCTAAATATAATCAGTGTACATTAAAATCTTGAGTTGCCTACCCCTTGCTTTTTGCTTGTTTATCTGCCTATTTTTGCGTGGCAGCTCTGGTTGCAGGTATGGCGCGCCGTGGCGGCACCGAGGTCCGGGTTGGCCCGGGTTGGCCGGGTCAGCGGGAAGCAAGAATGTGGGTGGGTCCACTGATTGTTGGCACAGCGATCCCGCTGCGGCGCTGCCGGCCTGACCCGGGAAACTGGACCGCCGGTGAGCTGGACGGGCGGCAGACTGATTCCGTGGGAGGTCTCTCTCTCAAATTTTAAACACTGCATCTATTCACCACATCCTCCCCCGGGACAACAACCAGCATGATTTGTTTTTGGAAATTTCCACTTTGGCAGGGACCGGCATTTCTAAAAAACCCCGTCAATAAAGCCTGTTTCACCTAACTCTCCCCTCTCCTCTGCTTGCCCTTTCGCCGCCCGGGCCGCCTGTCCGAGGGGTCCGGCTTTGGCCCGGTCCTCGCACTCATTTGGAAACCCCTTGGTCGTGAGAGACTGCACGGATCCCTCCTACAGGCCTTTGCCAACCGGCCCAGCAGGGAAATCGGTTTCCCTAGTCGGCGTTCGACGCCGAAGGGCTTCGAGGACGCGTCCCGTACACGGGCGTGAGGACCCAAAGGAAAAGAAAGAGCCAACCGTAAGTACTCTGAGGACACTTAAGTGTGCTGAGGACGCCAAAGGGCCCCGAGGACGCGTAAGTACTCTGAGGACACTTAAGTGTGCTGAGGACGCCAAAGGGCCCCGAGGACGCGCAAGTACGCTGAGGACACCGAAGGGCCTAATGAGGAGGCACTGAAGGGCCGCGAGGACGCCGAAGGGCTCCGTGGACACCAAAGCGTCCCGATGGCGGTGATAAGGGCCCTGCGGACGACCAACGGCGTCGTAACTTACACGAAAGGGCGTAGTGACAGACACCGAAGGGCCCCCTGGGGTTCAGAGGGCAAGCGAGGCAACCGGACCCGGTTGCATCACAGAGAGGAGGGGGGGGGGGGGGCGCTCTCGGTTCGGGAGGCAGCGCCAGCGCAGCACGCGGCCGCCGCCGTACGGCACGGCACTGTAGGGCACGCCAGGGCGGGGCGCCGTGGCGCGATGAGGGATAGGCTAGTTTCGTTTTCGATTCAAAGCGCACACTGCCAAAGTATAGCCTATAAGAAACTGTCTTTTTTCCCGGTGGTCCCTGTTGCATTTTTACCTTATTTATTTAGTTTTGTCTCGGACTAAAGTACTTTTTGACACACGCTGGAGACTCCACGGGTTTGGACACCGCGACGCAACTTGTCGCGGACTCCTGGTGGATGCGCAACGTTTAGGCAAATGCAACAGAGTCGAGTATGGGAGGAAAAGAGAGAGAGAGGGGGGGGGATAGGGGCGTATTGCGATGCACCGCCAGTCCGCTGCTGGCGACGGGCCAGCAGACTGATTCCGAGAGTCGGTTTCATCGCTCCGTCATCCCTCGCTCGCACTCAAGGGGCGTACCGTGTAGGTGCAAGAGAGACAGAGCGACGGCCTTCGGAACCAGCCTGCAGGACATTATGATGCACCGCGCTACCAACGCGCCGGCACTAAAGGGCGGCGGCGCACAGTGGGCCAGAAGACCAGTGGAGGCGTCAAAACTCTAGACGCGTTTTGAGCTCCAGAGTCGCTAAATGGGACTCGAACCGAACGTGTGACCCCACCAATGGATTGCTCTCTGAACGAGGAGTCCATTGGTGGGGTCCCACGTTCGGTTCGAGGCCTGCTTAGCGACTCAGGAGTTCAAAACGCGTCTAGAGTTTTGTCCGCCTCCGCCGGTCTTCTGGCCCACTGTGCGGCGGTCTCCCTGCACTCGCCAAAAGGACGTGCACACACTGCCAACTTGCGGACCGACCGCGACAGCGTGTGACGAACGGGGAAAACTCTCAAAACGGCACGACAACGTGCGGAGTCTGTGGCGGAACCGGGGGATGAGAATGATGTCACTCGCGGTGCCCGTTGCATGACGTGACACTGCGTGACACGACACGGAAGCGGCGGTTCGTTCTCGGGGCAGCTCAAACACGCGGATACCTCGCGCACACGCACGCCAGCGAGCACGCCGACGAGCATTCTCGCGCACGCACGGCGTACAGTGGGCCAGAAGGCCGGTGGAGGCGGCCGAAACTCTAGACGCGTTTTGAGCTCCTGAGCCGCTACACCGGACTCGAATCAAACGTGTGACCCCACCAATGGATTGCTCTCCGGAAGAGGAATCCTGGTAGGTCACACGTTCGGTTCGAGTCCGGTGTAGTGGATCAGGAGCTCAAAACGCGTCCGGGCTTTCGACCGCCTCCACTGTGCGCTGGCCGTCCGGAGCGCCTGCGAGGTAGACCGCGCCGCCGAACTCCGGAGCGCGCCGCGAAACTGGGTTGCCTACCCTGAGTCTGACAGGCGCTTTAGTCTCTGAGGTTCAAGTTCGAGCATAACAGCAAAGGTGCATAACAGCAAAGGTAAACCAGCATAAAACTCAACAAAAAATATAAAAACTCTAACTTTAGGCCCGCGGGCAAAATAGGAAAACTTAGCGTAGTAAGAGTGTATACTTGTTTGTAACAATCTGATCAATAAAAACCTTTTAAAATCGGAATCAAGTTCGAGACTGTGCGGACCGACGCGTCTAGAGGAATCCATCACGTCTAGAGTTTTGGCCGCCTGCGCCGGTCGTCTGGTCCACTATGAAGCGAGGTCGTCAGGATCTGCGGCCACCAGGAGCCATCAAGCAGCTCCCAGCATGTCAACACGCAGTCACTGACTGACGATGAGAAGCAGTTACAGAAGCCAGTCACAATGTGACCAGCAAGGGCAGTCAGTCACACACGCAGCCAGGCACACGCTGACACTCTCTCCCGCGCTCCTGTGACATTAGCACTCTCCCACACACTCACCCACCGGTCTATCCGCGGACGGGTGCCGGCTCGCGCGCGGCGTGTCGGCGTGGTCCAGGCAAGTCCGGGCGGGGACGGCGCAGTTCGCGGGCCGCGCCGCACAGCGCTCTCCAGCACACTGCCATGCGCGCGGCCCATGCCGCCGCGAGCCTCCGGTCTCGGCCCCCCGCCCCCGCGGCCCCCCGCGACTCCCCCTCCCCTTTCCCTGCGCGCAGCGGCAGTCTTTGATCCACCGGATCTTCCAACGCCGCAGCCGAGTGATTCCGAGAGTCGCCGCCACTGGTGCGAGAGAGACAGATCGACGAAAACGCCCCCCCTCTCTCTCTCTCTCTCTCTCTCTCTGTCTCTCTCTAGCAGGTCTGAATCACTCCGCGAGTCTGGCGGCGCGAAGGCGACACGATCGGAAAGGTCGGCCGGCCGGTCAGTAGGTCAGGTCGGCAGAGGAGACTGAGACGGCGAGGGTGAAAGAAAGAGCCTCAGAGGTAGCAAGACATCATAAACCATTCGCCCAGAAAATCTTTACCGCACCAGAACAACTAGCACGTTCAATTGAGCAAAAAAAGAAAAGAAAAACTTTTCCTGTGACGCTTGTTGAGTCGAAGAAGCTGTGGGCGGTGGGTTGCCTATCTACACGGCGCATGCTCAAAATTTCAGACAAATGAGAGGAAGCCGAGCATTTTTTTGACTTTGAAGAGTGTTTGGCTGAAGGAATAACGAAAAACCGACAATACAAACTCAAACTACGACATTTATTTATTTATTTAGAGGGACAGGTACAGCAATGCATTTTAATAAACTGACACAATCTTTTCAATAGAAAAAAAATAACATGGAAAACTGAAAAAATTTCTTGGTGGAATAGATGTTTGACTAGAGAGATAATAATGTGGAACCAAAGTTGAGTGGAAGTACAATCAAGTTCAAGTGTTCCAGTCAAGTGTGCGTGTGTGTGTGTTATTGCAAGCAAACTGACAATCACATACAAAAATAAAGAATAGACTACGGTGAATTGGACTGTATTAAAATGCTTTAGAAGTAGGCCTCCCAAATAATGAGCAAAACAATTATTAATGAAGACTCCAAGGGGTTTTCTGAAGATTGTCACTGACTTTTTTTAACCCATTCATACCAGTGCATAAAGTTTACTCAAGTTAACTTGCAAATAGGGCAACATGATTGTGTAATTACTTTCTACTTTAGTATACATCTCTGATCTATCTCTTCACATTTTCAAAAGTAGAGACGTGATCTGTACATGGTTGCTAAAATTCTCCTGGACAGGAATGGATTAAATTTAGGAAAAAAGTACACGTTTTTATATAATTAGCACTGAAATACATAAAATTGAGCTCCATATGGTTGAAAGACCAGCAGTGAAAAAGTTCCTTAAATGTTTATCGATATAGGCCTAGGAGTTTCACTCCACAAAAAGAGTAACAAACATTATGTATAAATACACTCTAAAACATGACAATAAAGTTTCATCCTAAATGCATCCTTTACATGAGATAAAACACTCAAAACCACTAAACAGACATGGCTTACAAATTTGCTACGGAGTTTCACTCCAATAATAAAAAATATTTAAGAATGTGTTTTACCATTTATAAGTCAAACATTTAATTTTTTGAAAGAGTTTTAGAGTCCTTAGAGACGGCAATTGTAGAATAGAACATATCTAGAGCGTACCTTTTCCCAGAAAAGGGCAGAAAAATTGAGGCCAGAAATTTTCATTGTACTCCCAAACCGTTTGCAAACCCTGAATAAGGACAATAAGGACGAGCAGGGCATGTCCATGCATTCAATACATATATTAGATCATGTCAAAACGATGGCACTGCAATTATTCAAAAAGACATGTATGTCTTCAATGATGCCTTCTGCTAAAGAGTTGATAAAATAATACTGGGAGAGAGAATGGAGATGATCAAGCAGACGATCATCATATATTATTTGTAACCAAATTTTGTCCAGGAAAGGTAACACCAATCCAACCACAATAATTTAAAATTTCAATTAACATAAATAGAGAAACAGTTGCATATATACACAAACACTCACAATAATATATTATAAAAACAACAAACTCTAATCACAACCAATACACCACCTTGAGTGAGGGTAAGGGTTTTCATTAACATTTCACATTTATTAAGTATCTTTTAACAAACAGCTAAGTCTGCTCTAATGTTTTACAGCCAATACACAATCTAATCTAAACTATGAAATTGACATGAAAAAAGGAAAGAAAATCACACAACTCAGAGATAAACAGGCAAAACATCCATAGATTTACTAAAACAAAGAGAGAAGCTCAAAACAACTCCTCTGAAAGAAGCACAATGAAAACTAAAAGCATTAAGTTATGCATAATTGACAAAACATTTTGAAATCAAAGGAAGAGAAAACACAAAATTTGTCAGTCTTGAAATACATACTTACTCAAGGATCCAAACATCACAAGAGGTAATCAAAATTTAAAAGAAATGTACAAGAAGAAGGAAATGAAAACAAAACCAAATGTTGTACAGTTCACAGATCCAACTTGTTCACCTAATTGCAGAAGGCCCCATTGTCAGCCCATCCTGCAGGCTAAGTGACACTGGGGTGAAACATAATGATACCCTGTATAGTACATTCGTTCTTTCTTCTAAAATTTGCACACATTGAAAGGCGTTTGGTGGCAAGGACAACTCTGGTGTTGGTCCGTTACATCGCAGATTTACACAGAGAGACACTTCCAAGAAAAGAAAAGAATATAAGTTTACTGATAGAGTATTTTGAACAATATCCTACAGCAAGAAAGTTCATCTTTCACGCAAGTGCCAACACCAAATTTGTCGTTGTTCATCTAACGCAAAACTAGGACATAGATCCTTCTACACACAGTAGCATTGCCAAAATGTCTTCCACCGCATTGGAAGATTCACAAGAAGGATAAGCCAAAATTCAACCATAAAACCAAAAGAGTGACTTAAAGTCTCAACATCACGAATCACAATGACTAGAACGTTTTAGGAAAATATGAGGATTCCTACAGCACCCAAACCAGCAACAAGAATTGCTACAGCTAACTTTAAAAGCTCGCCGCATGGGTTCGGATTCCAGCTGTGGAGCCTTTGACCCAGGGTCCCGACGGCGTCTTCATCATGTTGTCCATGTTGGCAGCGCTGGCATGGGGGCCTGGCTCTGACGCGCGGGCCTGGGCCCCGGCCTCATGCTACAACAGCCCTTCCGGTATTTCCAACGAGTCGAGGGTGTTCCCGGCGAGCAGGGCTGTCAGGGTGGCATGGCTCACAGCCAGGGACGTCTCTGAGGTCCCCGTCGACACGGTGGGGAGGGAGGCGGCCACCGTCACCCCAACCGGCGCCCGGCCCGGGGCCCCCAGGACGGCATCCGCGTCCTCCGAACCGGACTCCTCGGCCCGGTAGTCGTCGTCAAGGCCGTCGTCGTGGTCGGCGCCAACGACATCGCCACGGCCTCGGTGCAGCCCTGCGGGGCTGTGTGGCGGGGTGCTGAGGTCGCCGATCAAGTCCCACGCCAGCTCCAGTTGGTGGTGCTCCGCGCCGCTCACGTCCAGGTTCACGTCCAGGTTGAGGTCCAGGCTCGCGTCAAGGTTCGCCTCCAGGCTCGCGTCCAAGCTCACGTCCAGGCCGCCGGGCTCGGGGACAGCAACGCCGGCGTCGCTGTCCCCGACGTCCACGGCGACGGGGGACCCACTCATGATGTGCTCGAAGTGGCCGTCCTCCACGGAGCTACTCTTGATATACATCTCCAGGTCGTCGAGCGCGAGCGGCTCCATGACGAACGGCCCCGGGGTGGGCAGTGACTGGCTGCGGATGAGCGCTTTGGCGCGCTCCACCGGCGCGACCGGCGACACGGGCGTGGAGCTGGCGGTGGCCAAGGCGGTGGCAGCGGCGCCCGCGGTGGCGGCGCTTGAAGTCAAGACGGCGCAGGCGGGGGTGCGGGCGGTGGCACCCCGGGCGGAGGAGCTGTCCCCGCCGGGCAGCGGCGCCAGCGCCTCCAGCGACGGCGGCAGCGTCGTCAGCATGGCCGTCGTCGACAAGGCCCTCGCCGTCGTCCGGGACGGTGACGACCTGGACGCCGTCGTAGAGGTCGGCGTCGAGGTCCGGCCGGCGTCCGTAGACGACACCACGGGGGAGGTATCATCACCCATGAGGTTAACGCCGTACTCCAGGGCCATCAGCTCCATGAGCGATGAGTCGTCCATGCTCGCCACGCCTGCGACACAGAGCACGTCAACGTCATGCACAGTGACTGAATTCAGCCATGCTACTACAAAATCTAAACGAGTGTGAATGAGTGAAGGCTGGGCGCCTACAATGAGGGCAAGAAGTGGCAGGCCCGTTGCCTCGGGTTGCCTAGGCACCCACCGTCATCCTGAAGCAGCTCCATCTCCAGCAGGCCCGACAGGTCGTCCAGCGGCTCGGCCCGCGGCTCGGCCCGCAGGTTGGTCATGTACGCCCGGATCTTCTTGAGCAAGAAGTCGGGCGCCCGGAAGCCCTTCAGCTCCAGCAGGTTCACGTTGGGACTGTTCCTGGAAGAAGCCACAGTCATTTCCCGGAGCCTTGAGTTTTGGCCGCCTCCACCGTCGCCACCGCGTCCACTCACTTGTACTCCTGGCTGACGGCAAGCTCATGGATGTCCTGCAGGATGCACAGGAAGGCCTTCCCCCCGGTGGGCTGGATCAGGTGGTTCTTGGACAGCCACTCCCTGTCCTCCTGGTCACTCGCGTACTTGAACAGGTCCTGGTGCTTCGTGTACAGGCGGCCGCGCGACGACTCGTAACCGAGGACCTTGTTCGCCCTGGGGGATAAAGAGAGAAGGCGAATGACGAACGGGGCGAGAGAGAGTACTTGCTGCGTACACAGCATGGGTTAGTAGAGTTTTGGCCGCCTCCACCGGTCTTCTGGCCCACTGTGCAGCGTGGCCAGGCTTGGCCAGGCTTGGCCCTGGCACTCACCTGGCGCCCATCACGAACAGCGTGTCCGACGTGATCCTGCTGGGGTCCCACTTGGCGGCGTGGTTCAGGGTGGACGTCGAGGTCGCGGATGCAGGCGCGGATGCAGGCGCGGGGTCGGGGGCCGCAGCGGCAACCAGGCCGGCGGCGGGGGCGGTGGTGGGGGCGGCAAGGGGGGCTGCCGCGGGGACGGCGACAGGGGCAGCGACGGGGGCAGCGACGGGAGCGGCGACGGGGGTGGCGGCGGAGGCAGCCTCCAGGAGTCGCGTCGGCGGGCTATTGGAGCTGGTGGAGCTCGGGCTCGGACTAGGACTGGGCCGCGGGCTTGGACGGGGGCTGGGCCGGGCCGCGGGGGCAGGGGCGGGGGCAGGGGCAGGGGCGGTGGGGGCGGCCGCAGACACCACAGCGATGCCGGCGTCCGTTTGAAGCCCCGACAGACGGGCTCGTTTCCGCTTCGCCTCTAACTCCGCGTCCAATTCCTTCCGCTTCTTGAACATCTGTGAAAAGGCAAAGGCACCACACCGTGATCAAAGAAGCATTGATGCAACGAAGGGCGCGCGATTCAACGAGCTGAACAGCAAAAAAATCGAATTTAACAAACAAATTTGTGCGCAACGCCCAGAGGAGCAAATACCTGTTGCAGCGTGGCCGGCGGGGGCTCCGAGCTGAGAGGGTGCAAGGGGCCCACGAGGTGGCTGAGGACGCCGTTGGTGAGCTTGACGACGGGGGCCGTCGGGGTGGTGCTGGCGGCGCCCGCGGCCAAAGCGGGGGCGGGCCGCTGGCCGTGCGCGGCGCCTGGTTTCACGACCGGGGTGCCTCGGACTGTCGCTACACCGACAGCGCCAGGCGCCACGCCTGCGGTCGAGGAGCTCACCACGCCGCTCGATGAGGCCGCTGAAGCGGTGCTGGTTGATGTGGCCGCGGGCAGGGCGGCGAGGGCGGAGGCGCAGGCGGGCGTCGGCGTGGTTGCGGCTGAGAAGGAAGCTGGGCTGGCCGCCACGAAGCAGGCCGTCGGCGTGGAGGGCTTGGCGGCCGTGGCGGAGGCCGTGGCTGTGACGGCGACTCGGTTGCGCTTGCGGTGGCGGCGCGGTGCGGGCACGGTGGACGTCGCGGCCGCGGCGACGGCCACGGCGGCGGGCCGCTCGCCGGCACCGGGCCGGGGCACGGGTCGAGGCACGGTGATGACGGGGTGGGTGGCGGCGGCGGCCGGCGGCCTCGTCACGTACATGAGCTTGGCCTCCTCCAGCACCCGCTGCAGCACGACGCGGATGTCGTGCTCGCCCACTGCCTCGCAGCTCTGGCCGTGGCCCTGGCCCAGGTTCATCCGGATGTTCTGCACGGCGGGCTTGAAGAAGCGCTGTAGGGGTAAGCACACCGTCAGAACACTGTGCTTGAAAAAGGTACCTACTGATAACTCACGAAAGTGTGCACACTGAGTGAAAACACACTGAGTGTAAAAGCGCGCTGCGCAGAGAAACGCAATCGAGAACTGAAAGTTGGACGGCTCGTCAGCATGCAGCCTGCAGGCTCACCTCGAGGTACTTGTTGAGGACCTGCTTGATGTCCTTGTTGATGGTGGGCTGGAGGTTGACGCGGAGCAAGTCCAGCGACCTGGCTGCCCCGTAGCCGGAGCCCGCCGTCGCCGGTCCGTCCCGCGGCCCGTCCCTGGGTCCGTCTCTGGGGGCCATGCCGTTCACTCCTGCACGCATGCCGTTGCGCCTGGCCCCCGCCACCCCCGTCGCCGACCCCGCCTCCACCGTCTCACGATTCCGCAACGCCCGGACTAGCATGTGGCGAACATTAAACGTGTTTTTCTGCAAACAAAACAAACAATATTAGAGTTCTAAAGATCCAAGCGTAGAGATACTAAAAGGATGTGACGAACGTGACGTCACATCCGTCGAATGACAGTGGATTGAGAGCGGTGAACGGCGAGCCTTACCCAGTCTACCATAACAGGGGGCTTCCTGTTGGGCACCGCGAAGACGAACGAGTCCTTGGACTTGGAGTCGTCGGACTTGGGCGCCTTCGGCGGCGTGCTGGGCGTGCTGGCCGGGGCGTGGACGGTGAGCTGGACGGCGTTGAGGGCGGGCTTGGCGGCCAGCGCCGTCTTCGTCTTGTTGGGGTTGCTATATTGCTTGGCTGGGTCTGGCTGCTGTTGCGTCGGCACGGTCGGCGGCTCGGACGGCACCTGCACCACGGCCTGCACGGCCTGCACGGCCTGCACACACTGCCCCGCCCATTCCTGCCCCGACTGCTCGACCATGTTTGAGCGCGGCGAAAGGCATCAGCCTGCACAAAAAGAAGAGTCACCGTTTCAGCAAAATAAATAGAGACAAGTTGGAATTTTCTTTATACGAAGGAGGCTGGTGGGGGATGGGGGAAGGCGATGGTGTTTTGGCCAGTGGCGGATCCAGACCCGGTCTGAGGGAGGGGCAAAGAAGCACTTTTTGACCAGCTCAAGGGGTAAAGTGTGAATATTTGCCTACTATCCAGGGGCTGATTCGAGCCCCCCCCCTTTTTCCCACGGACCCCACTGGATCCGCGCCTGGTTTTGGCGCGCAACTGCATGGGTTTTTTCCCTTTCACATAACCGATTTTGTAAAACACCCTACACGGACGAGGGCTAGCCAAGCGTGGCGAGGTGTTTCAACATACGTATTAATGAAATAAATGCTCATATTAATAATGGCAGTACCAGTGATTTAAAGGACACTGCAATTTAGGAGCAGTCAAGACCTGTACCATTTCAGTCAGTCTGACCAATATTTCCAAAACAATGCCCCGATGTTAAAACTGGGGGAGGTAAATAGGAGGGGGTGGGGGGGCGCTAGGAATGTGATGGTTCCACCTTCCAACCCTGCGCGAGCGTACGGGCTGTACGGGCCCATCTGGACTCCCGCATCGCCAGCTGACCGTGAATCGGTCTGATTCATCAAAATAACGCACGGCGTCGAACACTTCTCGCACTTCACGAATAAGTCTAGGGGTTGAATGCGGCCCAGAAGGGTGTCACCTGGATGTCAGTGTCGATCTCCACGACGGGACAAAAGCCAGCTGACCACTAACATTTGTTTAGCTCGAAGCAGTTTCGTGCGAGCCGAACTGCTTCAGTCGTTACAGGCACTGAAAATTAGCGCGCGTCGACGGACAGACCCTTTCATGCGAACGATTTGAGAAGAACTGAAGAGAGTTTCGTGATCAACTCGCAGAATCTCTGGCCATGGACCACGGAACGTCTCGGGTTCCTCTGACAGAATTCTGTAGCGTTTCCGAGTAACTTGCAGTGAATATCCGACAAAGGCGCGGTGGGTATTTGGAAGGACTTACCCCAGAGAGCCGCAGCTCCTTCCAACGAAGGGCCAAACGAATTTCACTTAGTAAACATAATGAAATATAAAGCAGACTGCAGCTCTAGCAGACGAAATAAGCTACAGAAGTCTTTTCTTTCTGCTTGTTGTTCTTAAACTCTTTAGGGTGGTGGCTGGGGGGCCGGAACAGCCTCTGCCAGGGTGTGGAAAGTAGCTCGGATTTTAGTATGGAATGAGATGTCGTATTTATTTATAATCTTCCCTAAAATTTCTTTCATAATATTTGCATATTTGTTTTTCACTTTTATTCGAAAGGGGGATTTGTGCGTGAGTTTTCGCGATTAAGCCCCCTTGATTTTTAAAGGGAGGTTCAGAGATTCGCGGAGGCCGTGACCGACTACTCGACGCCATTTTCGGAAGCCGGACGGACCAAACACAACCCAACCCACAACCGTAACCTAAATTTTGTTTAGTGTTGCCGCACGTAAAAGAAGTGAGGTTTTGCTGAGAAAGACTCCGACGACCCGTTGCCAGAATGTCGACTGACTTCTACATACGTTACTACGTCGGGCACAAGGGAAAGTTCGGTCATGAATTCTTGGAGTTTGAATTCAGACCCGACGGCAAGTTGCGCTATGCCAACAACTCCAACTACAAGAATGACACAATGATCAGGAAAGAAGCGTACGTCCACAAATGTGTCATGGATGAGTTAAAAAGGATCATTGTGGATTCTGAAATTATGCAAGAAGACGACTCCTCGTGGCCACAGCCTGACCGCGTCGGAAGGCAAGAGCTTGAGATCGTGATTGGCGATGAACACATCTCCTTCACCACCTCCAAGACCGGTTCGTTGGTGGACGTCAACCAGTCTCGCGACCCTGACGGTCTCCGCTGCTTTTACTATTTAGTTCAAGATCTGAAGTGCTTGGTGTTTTCACTTATTGGTCTTCACTACAAGATCAAGCCAATCTAACATGTGGACTTTGTTAAGCCTTGACATGATCGATTAAGTTAAGCCACCCATGTTTCCGCAATTAAGCATTGTTTTATTTTACGTCACACTGCTGATTTTCAGCTGAAGGATTCTTATGTTGTTCTGACATTTTGGATATTTTGTACTGCTCACGGATTTTGTTGGTGAATCATACAATACTTGATCTATTAAGTAGGAAAGTGTTTTGATGCTGCCGTTCTGTCATGTGAGGATTTGTTACACGTTGTTTCACAAAAAAAAAAAAGACATTTTAGTTTCCAAAACTTTATGGCCGGGTATTATTTACATTGTATTATTTACAGTCATCAATAAATAAGTCGAACTTTTATCAAAGCTACCCCTTATTTACAACATCTCACGTTACAATGAACCTCTTTTCAGCTGCGTTGATTTTATATCTGGTTGTGTCCAATTCTGGTGTACAGGGTTGTAGTTCTTACAAAAAATGAGGGTGAGGCAGAATCAGACTAGGCATCAATTACAATTTTGAGGTCAATGTGCAAATTTAAATGTTTAATTGGCACATTTTAATTTGAAAAGACCAAGCTGACTTAAAAATGATTGACCAGAAACTTGCTCATGCTATTATGAACACCATCTTTATTTCCCTCAGTAATACATTCAGCTGAAACAGCTTATGTATACCTAGAAGCACCATGCTATCTACATTCTGACAAGGGAACTTATTGCTGAACAATGGTCGATTTGTTACAAAACATGTAACTCCATTAGAAGAAGAAGTTTCATAGGGTCATTACTTAAATATGTCGCCTAGAAGATTAGATTGTGTTGGATTACGAGGATGATAAAATGAACTGCCCACAGTGTGGCTACCTTGCAAGTCTTTTCAGATTACATTAAAGACAAATCTACACAATCTACAACATGCACACATCACAGTTATTCTGGATATGTCACAGAATTTCCAATAAGAAAAGCATACTTGTAACAAAAAATGAGCCCACATCAGCAAGGTAATTGAACAAAGGGTTCCTTTTTTTTTCTGATGAAAAAAGTAACAGTTAGGGTTTTGGTAAAGTTAAGAAAGATAATGAAAACTGGAGTATCACTCACAAATTGATACTGGAAGTTAATCTCAGGTCATCCAAAGCCACTCAACCAACATACTTGTGGTGTTGTGATCTAGGAAACAACAGAAGAGGACTAGTAACATGTCAGCACATATATCCAATATTTACAAAAATGAATCTTAAACCTCATGGAATGTACAAAACAAAAAGCATGATAAAATTACGCAACACCTAACCTTTTGTGAGTTCTTTTCATATCCGGCTCTTCGGGTTTTTTCAAAGAAAGTAACAAATAGTTTATGGGAATTCTGCAAGACCAGAACAAACTTTTACAATCATAAATATATCAACAATATTGTTTATTTAAAAATCAAACAACACCAGCAACAACAAGGAAAATGAAACAACAGAGCACAGCATAAAACATGATTTTGTTTAGAAAAGGAGTTTCCTTTTTTTTTTTTTTTTGGAAAGGGGGGGGGGGGGGCATTCAAACTTTCTCTGCATTATACTCCAAGGATGCCTCAAAATGTAACCTCAAATATTTGCTCTAACTATCAAGTGACTTAAAATTCAAGTTTGACTAGTGCTCTTTTCAGGAAGAAAGGTGAAGATGAGGTAGAAAATAAACAACTTTCCCTTGTAGAGCCAGAATCCAGTTAATGACAGGAGAAATTGTACTTGCAGAGTTTAAGCAACAAATTCAAGTTGTACTGTAATCCATTCGTTTTCCATCATAATGCGGGCAAACAGACTTTGGGCACTGTTGCTAATAATAACATCAATGATATGAACATGAAAAAAAAAAAGAGAAGCAGACACTGACTCATCATAAGACCAACACCATGATCCCTTCCTTCAAAAGAATCATATTTTAATGTGTTATCAATGTTAGGTAAAAATATTTGAAATGCTGGAAAAAGTTAGCTAAATAAATTCATATACAGGGTGAAGGCAGTTCAACAGTTACTTTCATTTTATTTCATTAAAAGAGAAAGTAACAGCAAATGTCTTTACATCAGAAAATTGGGAAAGGGTTAGGCAGGGAAAAGTGCCAAAATATTCAATTCAATTTCTTAAAAGAAACAACAACAAAACCTGTGAATACATGTGGGATCTTGCAAGATATTTTTATTATTTAAGACCAAACAAAGACACAATTGATGTAACATTTAAAATACAGGCTTCTTTCATTTCTCAACTATACAGAAAGAAGTATACCACAAGTCCTTTATTAAAGGTAAATGTGATCAACTGTTCACTTATCTCAAAATGCCATAAGATAAAAAGATCTCATCTACTACCTCATATACATAGGGACTTAAAAATCATCACAGATAAAATTCCAGATTCGTGAACTTGGTTTAAACCACTTTCGCTTTACCACAGAATTGCAGATTCTATACCTCTGAAAGCAAAATTACATCAAAAACTACAGAACAAATTTAGCTCCGATGTGGTTCTTTGGATCCATGCTTAAGGACAGGTTATCAGAGAAATGGGTAAATCCAATTGCATCATCAGCTTCTTCGCTTTGGGTGCCAAACTTGAACCCTTATTTTCTGCAAACCAAGCATAAGTCCATAGGCCAATAGTACTGGACACCAAACCAAGAAAATAGCAAAGATTAATAATAAATAAAGGTCTTAACTGAGAGACGGATTAAATCTTCTCAAAACCACAACAGAAGGGCTCACTTCTCTTGCAAATACAGAAAATTGAATTGAAGCACTTTCTACACAATTCATTGATAATTTTCTTGAATCCTCATCAAGAGAGAGAGAGACAAGTATTGACAACTTGTCATCTCAGTTAAAAATTTGAACAGGTAAAAGGTTACCAGTCATAAGGAGAACAATCATTCATTACCCATTATCTATAAAACACATTGAGGAATAAAATGCACACAATTTATTGCTAATGCTACAACTCGTCCTCTCTTACTGTGTAACAAAAAAAATCTGGATAATGCACAGTCAACCCAACACAAACATTCACACATGGAAAGGAAAAAAGAAACACTACCAGGGGATAATAATGGTCTATGAAACACCACTCAGCTTCCTTCAGAAACTAAGGAAGGCGTGAGGGGTAGGCAGAATCCAGCTCCACAAGAGGGGAAGAGTCAGCTTTATCACAATTGCACAGAGGAATTAATAATAAAAAGTAGACAAAACATTCATGATATTTGTCCAAATACCCTAACTTGTTTTGTTCTACTTCACATTTTTTGCTACTGATAACACATGAGGCCATAGCTTTTAAGTTCAGTCAGAACATGACATCTGTCACAGTGACTTAGCAACAAGCAACAAACTAATGTACCACCCAACTGCTTATCTTCTCCAACCCACAACCAGGCACTGCCGACAGTACAAACAAATAAGATTGCTGTATTCAAAAACCAAGACAAATGTCGGCACACTACAAATTAAGGCTGGTGAGGGAGAGAAAGATCACAATATTGGCAAAAAGACAATATCACACAGTCTTTTAAGCAACACCAATTGTGCTGTGGTCTTCTTCATAAAAATCGACTGATAACATAACATGCAATAAATTTAAACTTTACACATGAATAAGAGTAATTCAATTCCGGGATTTAAAGGAAAAAATCTATTAAGATTATTAACACAACAATCTCTGGAATTGTCTTTTGGTAATCAACATTGCTAGCTCTGAAAGGCACTTACAACTTGATTTCAAACACCATAGTGATGCATGCACAAACCATAGAATCAAATAGCTCCATGAGCTAAAGGATAAAAAACATTTGCCTGAAGATCAGTTTGAGATCGGACCTTGATGTAGTGGCGGCTCGCCCGCGCCGGTAGGTCGAAAAGGAGGCAACAATTGCAGCAGCTGGTGAGGCGAGGCAAAGAGTGTGGCACCTCCCACCTTACTTTTACTGCAGCTGTATAAAGGGTTGCTTTTTTTTTTCAACGTACCACCGCGGGTGGACCACCCTGTATAAGTACACTGGAAACTGATACATTAGTAAAAACTCTTATGTTGATCTCATTACAGAGGTCAGTAAATAGTCTGCAGCAGCGAGATGGCGAAAAGGACTAAGAAGTTCACTTAATACTTATATGACATTAACCACAGTGCCAGAGTGCATGTAAAAATGGTGAACAACTATTTCAATCATTTAGAACATATTGCATTTAAAAATCACAACTAACAAATTCATTAGTAACTTGGCTGGTAACTGTTCCCAATTAATTATAAATAATTATTGAATTAATTCAATAATAATTTCTAAAGAAATGAAATAAATAAACTAGGGGTTCTAAGTTTTCAGAACTCGGGCCAATAAATAAGCAATCAATCAGACAATAAACCAAAAGTTTCAAATATAACTGTAAAGATACAGTGCACCTTCAAAATAAAAATTTCAGAAACTAAAATTCCATATCATGTAAAAGTCAATACAGCAAGATGAGGCACCAGAGATTTAATGGTAGAGAACAATGGATTCAAAGAGCATTTTTCATTGATCAAATCAGAGGTGCTTTACCTGCAGTGTCATACTGTATAATGTAGATAAAACAGAGCTGTAGCAAGACCACTCTGGTTCTTGGGAAAGTTTTTGCAAAATCTTAGAACTATTCTATTTAACTTCTTGGATACAGACAGAAATCTATCATATCATCATCCTCAGTCGACTTTTAATGCAACAACAAGAAAAACAACAACAAAAAAACTCTACTTGCCAATGTCAAGTATCTAAAGGGAGCAATACTGATACCGTGACAATAGTAAATGTGACTAGATAGAGGGCAGAGCAGCCCTAAATAAACACTGGCTTCTTCTTGGAACTTGTTGCAGGAAAATGCATCATCACTTTGCATTTCAATTATTCAAAGAATAGTTTCCTTTGAGGTCCATTTCCTGCTGTGGCCCATTATCCCACAGCTTGGAATTATAGAGGAGGGGCTGATCTCCTCCAACTGAGCCGGTCCTAGCCCGGCTCTGTGTTACTCAGAAAACCGATTCAGCAGATCTTGATAACTGAATCGGATGTGAGGGACTTCTTACCAGCCTCTTCTTTGGAAGTTTCTCAAAAGTATTCAGCAGCCTGACGAAGTCTGGTCTATCTCCAGGTTTGAACGACCAGCAAGACATTAAAATATCCTAAAACAAGATAGTCAAATTAGTATATTCCTAAAGCTACCAATTCACGAAAAATTTAGGAATGAAATTCCAATGACAAAAGCTTAACAGAGAGGAAATTTATCTAGAAAGGTAAGGGTTAAGTGAAGACAAGGGCACATTACACAAAAACAGTCTTCCACTTGAATTGGATGAGGCTACACACATATAAACACCAGAAATTATGGGTAAAAATCTTCCAAAAATGAAAAATTACAGAAGCACTACAAAAAACTTTAAACACACTATCACTACCCAAATTATAAATAACTACATTCCAAAGAAAATTTAAGGGCCACAGTCCATATACATCATTGAAAAAAGTTCACTTAAAAGATAATTAATTTAAATTAGCACAAAAATGGAGAAAAAGCAAGCAGTGTTTCAGAAAGAAGAGACAAAGAAGGCCAAAGCTGAGACAATTAGAACTAACAGTATACAGCTGCTAGTGGGTCATGCAGCTATGTATTGTAACAACCGTAGATGGATTAGGGATTCTCAGGCAATTTTGAGTGTTGAAGCACCTTGGGACTAGCTCCTAAAATTGATGCCATGTTTAATTCCTTAAATATTATTATTATTTATATTTGCTATTTAATTTTAAGAGAGGATAACCATTTTCAGCCAAAGGAATTCTGTTCAAAATTTCTACGAAATTCAAGGGCAACTGTAAGACATGCGGAGTCACTCTAAATTATCTTCTACCACTTGTTCTACCAGGATTGCAATATCTACATGCTGACTTGAGTTGTGCTGGTCACCCAGGAGCCAGAACCCACCTCAGCAGATAAACTTAATCCATTCTCATCATCATTATCTTCCAGGTTCAGATGATCAAGGTGCCATTCATTCAGGCCTTTAGGCTTCCCTTGCTCAGCCAAATTTCGTAATGAGGTTACCTGGGAGTTGCGAGGGCGTATGGCCTTCGAAATTGTAATTGTGAAAGACCGAGATTAGAGAGCACCCTCTTGTCAAACTTGCATAATAATTAATTGCGTTTGAAACAAACTGCAGAACTACTATGCCAACAATTTCACTCATTTTCAAAATATTGCCATAAACCACTATGTGTCATTCACTACTTTGAAATGCACAAACTAACGCGGAACAAAATCTTGTCAGTGAAAATTTATTACTTTCTCAGAAAATGTCTGTCTGAGTCATAAAAAGCAAATCCTAAATGCAATTCTCATTCAGATCAGACTTAATGAGTTACAGCTCATTCTGAATACACAGTATATTTTTAAAAATGATAAAAACAATAAGTTATACATTAATTACGAAGCAGAATTTTCAACAATTAATAACTCTCCCATCCAAAGGTAAAACAACACCACGCAGCACTCGATACCCACCTCACTTGAAGCACTATGGCTAGTATCTTTGGGAAGGTGATAGTGACGATCATGGTGCTTGGGCTTGCCTTTCTCAGCGAATTGGCGCAGAGAGGGGAGAGGGGAAGGAGAAATGGGAAATAAGGGGGCCTTGAGTACAGACATGGAAAAGAGGTGTTAGTTGAGGGTTAAAAAGACAAATGACAGCATACCTCGCTACACAAAACTCATCAGAGGGAGAACAGAATAAGAATAATCAAAAGACATGAGGAAAGCACAGACAATGGGGAACCTGGACAGGCACACAACCGAAACTCCCATAACCTATCACACATACCTTTACATCTCTGCTTGCTTGAAGGTTAGCCAATGTCTGCTTCATTCCCTTCCCCACTTGCCAAATGATTGATTCAGGGGGTTGGGCTTTGAAAGGCCACTCTCCACACAAAAGCTCATACCATACCGTTCTAGAAAAAATAAAACAGAGATCAGCACATACTTTAAGAGAGAAAAAAAGGAAACCATACAAAAACACAAATGATCAATGTTCTACATACCCAAAAGCATACACATCAGAAGCTTTGGAAAATGGGAGCTCATCATCCAGTTGATTTTGCTGAGCTTTCAGGCTGCACATAATTTCGGGAGCAAGATAGCATAGCCATCCACGAGGTATGCTCAACCCCTTACCCTTCCTGAAATAATAAAAGACAAGAGAGATGTATTCTCTGAAAACTTATGTGAACTTGAGCAAGATTATTACTTACCGGTTTCCAAAACACAACTTGGTGACACTGAAGAGACCAAAATCTGTGATAACAACCTTTCCATTTTGAAGAAAAATGTTTTTGCTTTTGAGATCCTTATGGATGATACCCCGAGCATGAAGATATCCCATGCCCTGCGATATCTGCTGGGCCACCATTGTGGTGCGGTTCATGTTGAATTTATCTTTGCGTATGTGGATGTGTGTGAACAGAGTCAGGCCTTTGCACATGCTTGTGACAATGGCAAGTCTCGGAGGCTTCATACACGCTCCCATAAACAAGACTAAATTTTCATGTCTTGTTTTGCGAAAAGTTGCCACCTTGAACAACAAGGAAATGTCAGTTAAGTCAACAAAAAAAAGGCACTTCCAAAAACATCAGAAAATTAAAGTGACAAAGTCCTACCTCTAATTTGAACGCTTCCAAGGTCTTTTCCATGTCAATGTCTCCCATTTGATCCATATTTAATACTTTAATGGCTACATCCCCATACCAACTACCTCTATAGACAGTTCCAAAATGTCCAGTGCCTAAAGCGTCCCCTAAATTTAAATCATCAAATGGGATGTCCCACTCTCGCATTGACAACTGCAAATAAACAAAATAGGAAAAAAAAAATTATTACGTTTGGGTTTTAATTTTAAAGAATAAATTAATTTATAAATCTCAAACACACTGAACTTACACTATTCTGTCTTGGCCATCCCTTGCCATCTGTTGCCTCTCCATCTGATACCTGGCTATCTTGGCTATCAACTCGAATAGGCGTTCTTTCTGAATCAGTGCTTATGCTGCCAGACCCAGACACTGACAGAGTTTTATCACTATCCATTGAAATTCCCTCTTTTTGGGCCTTATGAGAGTCCATAATCTCCTCAAGAGCAGGAGGGGCCGTCAGAGGATGTGTCTCTAGAGTAACACATCGAGGTGTTACATCTGGAAACTGGAATGACTGTTGCTTGGTGGAGGGGGCAGCTGAAGATGCGTGTTGTTGCATCATTAGAGCTGGTGATGATGGTGTAGAAGAATTACAGCTTGACGTGTTCGAACTTGAATCTGGGCCCTGAAGAAAAAATCTTTGTTTCAGTATTTAATGTTCAAAGAAAAATCAATGTCGAGACCAATGTAGTAAAATAACATATCAGTCTTACTTGGAAAGGCGGTATTTGGATGGAAGGTTGAGGATGAGACCTTTTGCGGTCTTTACGAGTGAAAAAGTTGTGGTTGTTGTTAGAAGAATGGCTGGGAGATGGTCGCCTCATACTAGGAGATGAATTGGGTGGGCCTATGCCTTAAGAAAAAATATAACGAAAAGGTATTATCAATTTGGCAACTTGAACAAATTAATGCATGAGAAATTTCATCAGAACACAGCATTCTTACCATCCGACTGAAGTGTCTTTCTGAATTCCTCAACCAGTGCTCTTGGCAATCCACAAGATGGAGGGACTTTTGACTTACAGTCTTTGTGACATTTATATTTACACTCCGTGCATTTCAGACCTAAGGTAAAAGAAAACATTTCATGAAGTTAAAAAGTATGGAACATAAAACACTAATCTAAAGAAAAATTAAAATGTCCTTCTGTCCTTGCTTACCCATGAACATTTGTTTGTCACAGTAATCACACATGGCAATCATCTTGTAGGTTTTGGTAAACCGATGCGATATATCATGGGCCATTCCCCTTGTCAATACAGATGCTGCCCTGGGAGACTTTGGAACTTGAAGGCTCGCTGTAAAAATGAAGCATAATGATGATGCATAAAACTCTTGTTTAATTAATTCAAAGCAATCCATAAAGTTTACACTGCAGTGACAAAATCTTACATTTCACACTGTTATCATCACTATCCGTGCCAGCAGAACTGTAAGGTGGAGACTTTATAGGACTGGATAGTAAAGGTGATGTTTGACCGTAGTCACTACTGTTAGGACCAGGCTCAGTCGGAAGACGGCCCCTTCTTGGACGAGGTCCATTTGCAGCTCCAGCAGTATCATTACTGGAACAACGCAAAAACATGTGAAAAGGCTCCCATCATAACAAAATTAAACAAAGAGAAACTTTAAGTTACCTGCTTTGACCATTGTCTGCCCCGTCCACTCTGTTTCCAAGCTGTGATTCATGAGATTTGGACTTGGTCAAGGTATGGGCATCACCGAGGGCATTTTGCACCTGTTGACATATTTGTTGCTGTGGTGATTGTTGCTGCAGGTGATGTTGATTTTGGAAGTGATGTGACTGTTGCTGCATTTGGTGATGTTGGTATTTTGAACAGGACTGTTCACCATTTTCTTGAGCAGCAAGATTTTTAAGCTCTTGAACAAGTTGATCTTGACTTAGTTGAGTTGTGTGATTGAGAGTGCTGGTATTGCCATGAATCTTTCTTCTAGGAGGAGGTGTCGTAGGAAACCTTAATCTATCACCTTGAAAGTATTCACAAAAATGGTTACAATAATTGTTAAGGAAAACTGATGATAAAAAAGCAATTCAGTAGAAAATAGTTACCTTTTCCCTTATTGACTGGTGGAGTGGAGGGAGGTGTGCAAGGTGGATAAATTGGCTGAACAGGGGGAGAGAGAGGAGCAAAATGGGTGGGAGTTCCTCCCAGCTGTGGTAACGAATTAACAGAGGAACTTGTAGCACCACCAAGACTAGGACTATAACTATAGTTGTTATTGTTGTAGGGTAAACTATCTTCTGATGGGACTGACCCACGGGCCATCCTAGTTCGAAGCGGTCTTGGCGATGTACTAACACTTGATGGAGCACGTTGAGGACTTTGGCAATCCCATGAATCCCAATACAGAGGAGGTTCTGTATCATTTGCTTCATCTCCTCTAACTTTTAAATCTGAATAGTATAGATACAAGTGGTCAGGCATTGGAAGCTCAATAATCATAATCATACAGAGAAAATAAGTAACTTCTCAGAACCACTAAAATAAGTAAGATCTTACCTTGTATGTATCTTCTCAAATTGTGGAGTGATCTTGTGAGCCTACGAATATCTTCATCTCTTGCTGGTCTTTCTGCAAGAATACTCCGCAGTTCATAGTCAGATTTGAGTTGCAATTCCTCCAATGTACCAATACGCTTACAAACACCCTGAAAAGTAAATGTTATAACATCATAAATATGAGCAATTGAATAAATGATGGATACCATTAAATTTCATCACTACTTACGGGAATAGCATCATGTGCCAACCCAACAACTTTCAGCCATTGATCCAAAGGAGGTATATTGACAACATCCTTTGCTCTTAAAGCACCACTTTCTATAAATGAAGATTTGCTAAGCAGCAGTCGAGAATATAGCTTCACTAACTTTCCCTGTAATACAAAGTCAAACTGTCAATATCCAAAACTATAAACTTCAAGGATAAGTTCAATTGGCTCTCATCAAATAATAATAGGGACAACGACTACGTCGGTGACAAGTCCAAGACTACGAACAATACGATCAGAGACCAGAGGTTGCAATAAAAATATTAAAGAAATCATTTGCAAATAGCAGCAGTTCTAACACAATGAAACAACAAAATATAACCAATTTTGAATAATAAATATGTGGATGACACTTGCAAGGATCAGGTTATGAAAACAATGATGGGCTGACTGAGGGGGCTGCTACTCGAGCCTACTACAAGTGAGGCAAGTTTGGAAAGGGGTGTTATCGTACGGGGGTAGCAGTACGAACCTCTAGAGTGCGAATTTCCTGCTGCGTCAACTCCGCACTCGTCGCACATTGCGTTCTCAAACCATCCAAGCGGTCAGCAGAAATGTCAATCATGGACTGCACTACAAGCAGGGCACCTCGGGGATCCCGCTCCGTTCTGTCTCTGTCCTCGGTCGCCATCCCAACCTCGCCTGTCAAGTCCTGCACCACTTCATTCAGAGCACACTTTAAGACAACGAGATGGGCTTGACATCACTTCTTCCTGATAAAACTTCTTCATTTCATCTCTCTGTCACGTAAAAACTTCAGCCATCTTGCTTTTCTCTCGTCGCGTTTTCACTCACGAAAAAGGCACCGCCCGCTCTCTGAACCTCGTTTTGCATATCTGACCATATGAGACCAGGCAAATATTTGACAAAAACGACAAAGTCGAGAAAATTAAATAAAGAAGGATCAAAATTTGATAGAAAACTGGCAAAGGCAACAAGAAATGTTCATCCAGTATCATCTGTTTACGTCTTTTACTGTGCTAGCAGACGACGCAAAAACAGGAACAGGCCCAACCACTCAGAAAAGGAGGAGGGGGGAGGGGGAGGGGGTGGGGAACGTACCAGAACGCATCGACAAAAATATTTGTTTGTTGTGTACTTTACTGACGACAAGTAGCGCATAGGAAACGTTCGCTACGCATTTGTTCTGTGATCATGGAGTATAAAGTTGTTACCAGTAAACCGTTAAAGTTGAAAGGAGAAGGAGTCAAGAAGTGAGTTCATTCATTCAATATGTTATTGACATATCTCATAACCAAACTTCCCTGCACTATTGCTTCTCCTTAGACTTCTATAATACTTATGTTGAGAAAGAAGCATTGCAAAGTTCTTAATATCGAGTTTTGTTAACAAATGTTTCAGGAAAAAGAAACATAAGGAAGACAAGAAGTTACTGGAGCAGGTGACAAAGGCATCGGAGATTCCGCAAGAAGGTCAGAAGCCGCCACAAATTCAACGCACTAAAGCTGAATTAGCATTCTTGAAACAACAAGAGAAAATGGTGGGTTTTCTTCCTGTTACAAATATTTGCAGTAGTAAGTTCATGACAGTGTTGGACTTACCTTATTTTCCTGTTCACAGCAAAAAGAAAGAATTGCACAGAAGGCATCAAAAACCCACAAACAAAGAGTAGAAGAATTTAACCGTCATTTAGACAGCCTCACAGAACACTTTGACATCCCCAAAGTCAGCTGGACCAAGTAGTGTTCATTTACTCTCCCTCCATTGTACATTTCCCTTAAGTTGTATGTTTTTGTTATTTATCAAAGAAAGAGTGCCCTTATTTGCCAAAATCCAAGTAATTGTAACTGTTTATCAATTTTTTCCTTGGCGCTATATTTTTTCTCTTTCTTTCATTCCTCTCTTCCTTTTTTTTTCTTGCACCCCAGAGTTTTGTATTGATTTCTCAATAAATTTTATTTGATCTCTGTAACTTATGTCTCATTTATACACCATATAAAGTCCCACTGGGATATAAAATCTTGCAAGGTCGCTTATCAGGGGTGGATTCGAAAGAGAGGTGGAGAGAAAGGATGTGTGTCAAGATCTTCATCCAAGGCGGAAGTTGGCGATGCAACTGCTCTTCCATGGCAAAATTTGACAGTGTCCAAAGGTGCCCCACTTGTCTGCTACATTTGGATTAGCGGTGTTGACACCTACACAGAAACTCCAGACTTGCCGTCACATTTGAACCATTTACTGGAGAGACGCACACATGCCTCCTGTTGCTGTCCAGGCGGTGTTGGTGCAAATAAAGACCAAGTGCAGCACCATCTTTGCGGTGCTCGCATAGCGCCGGCGTCGCCACAGTGCGCTAAAAATTTAGGGACTGGCAGAAAAGGATTGTGCCGTCATTTTTCTGAGCAGAAGCAAAGCCACTTCAATCCACCTGGGTTTGAAACCTTGAGTGGCAGGCCGGCACTTCCCAGTTTGGATGACACTTCAAGGTATGCTGCCGGAACTAAGCACAGTGCTGAAACTTAGAACTTTTAATCAATACTAACACGAAAAAAGAGTAAAATTAGGATAAAATGCTTACTTAAAAAGTAGTCATAGAGGCAAGCCACAAACAAAACAATCTCAATTTCTCATAGTTCAAGTCAAGAGTCCAAAGTATTTTTCATACTCTGCTCCCCCTTCTCCTCCCCCTCCCCACCCCCTTGCGCGCAGCTCTGTTTGTTGTGTTTTTATTTGGTGTGTGGCACATTTTGCAGGTGACAAGTATTGTTGTTTCGTCGAAATGGCGCAGGGAAAGTCCAAAGCTAAGGCCCAGCTCCCAGCCAACGTCAAGGCCAAGAAGAAGTTCTCTGTCAAGAGCAAAACAATCTCGAAAGCAAGGCCAAGTAAGTCAAAGTTAACCTCCTCTTACCTTATGTACCTGTTGTAATGTAGTAAGTTCATTTTACTATTCAGCCTTTTTTTCTTCTCAGACGCTCCTATAGCACCTAAAGTTACGGGAAAAACCATCGAATCCCTGAAGATGAAGAAAGCTATTTCCAAGGGTGTAGGCGAAGCGCTGGAGTCTGAACTCCGCTCTAAGGCACTTGACGGAAAAAATTCACTTCTCACAAAGAAGGAAATGGCTGAAAGAGCCGCTGCAAACAAGTAATGGTTATCATCTTCATGTCCTTGTGCTGTATATTTTTAATAAATGTAAATAATTTGTTAACAATCTCCTCTTTTTTATTTTCAATGGGAGATAACTCTGAATTTAGGAGACTTTTCCAAAAAGTTGTGGTCACACAAGAACGCTGCAGTGGCCCATTTGACGAAAAAGAACTTGTGGGGAATGGGTGAAAATGTTTGAATTTCGTTTGATATCAAAGATGTAGACCTGTCCAAGTTAGACACAGTACATTGACTAGCACAATAATTTATTTTCAATCTTTGGTTTTTACAATATTATATACATAGTTACAAATTTTACTCATATTACTATTTAACAAATTTTTCACTGTCATGTTTGGCTTAAAACTGATTTATTTTAAGTCACACATACTTGTCCTTCATGCTAAAAATGCATGTATAACACCAGTAACGAGTAAACACCCAAAAATACAAAATACAACGAGTGAGTTAACAGATATAAGGGAAAGATCACAGTGTTGCGTATTCAGCATTCGCTCGACGTTCCAGGAAGTGAAACGTCAGTTGATGCTGATGCTGCTGCTGGTGGGTCCGACATTGGATCTGGACACATATCGTCTAAAATGGTGACCTTAGTTGACCTCTGGGATGATGATCCCCTACTGCTTCTATCAGGTTTGGCACTCCCGCTGCAACAGAAAGGACGGTTTAGGACAAGTCTTTTTTTTTATAGCATGCCTACCTAGGCGTCAGTTTGATACGATCATCATTTTCCGGATTAGCGATGGCGTCACCACGCGGTACTCACGATTTCCGTCGGTCCATGAAGAAGGCCATGGAGAAGAGCAGCACCGCGATGCAGACGACGCCCAGCACCACGGCCACCAGGACGGCCGGGGCCACGCCGAGGGGGTTGCCGTCGCTGCCGTCGGCGGAGGGGCTCTCTGGAACCAAGCAGAAGGGGGATCATGATTCGTCAGTCGCCACTGCCGAGTTCGTGGATTCGATTCCGCGAACCGTTACTCCAGGCAGAAAGTCCGAGTCATAGGAATCCGTTCAGGCCGGACACTCATCCGACTGGTTCCCTCCCGACTCAGGTGTTTGGAAAAGGAGGGGGGGGGGTCTAGTTGTGCCTAGTTGCGGCGTGCATGCCAGCATTCCGTGGGGCGGCAATGTTTGTCGACAAGAGAGGAGGGGGGGGGGCCTTTATCGAACTACCGCGACGACGGCTACACCGACCGACGCCCTTGGGGACTGGGTTACTCTTTCGGCCCCGGAGTGCAGCGAACATGCCCTATCTCTGTCTCACTCCCGGACGGCGGCCGCCCAGCGGTGCCGAGCGCCGAGCTCATACACTGTGCACTGTTATTCAATCAGTGAGCCTGCAGCGTCGCGGTGACACTCGAGCGCGGAGTATCGCCAGGGTCATTCCCTCTGCAGTTGCGCGGGCGCGGGGTAGACAAGCCGGCAGTACGCACCACACGCGCGGCGGCGCGGCGGCGCAGCGCGTTGCTTCGTGACTCACACGGCAAATGGGCAAATGCGACTGCGCGATTGTGATACCGCGGCAGTACCGCGCGGGACCAACAACATGTGGCCCGCTGTCTCTGCCGCTCTCGCGGGGCGTCGCCATGGCGTCGCGGTGGAGTGCGAGAGAGACGGCGTCAGTCACCGCCGCTGGGGGGCGCGCCAGCCTCGCGCCAGCGCCATCGTCATGCCCGGCCATGCCGCGACGCGTTCGCAAACAAAACAAACCGACGCGTTCGACGCACGAGCTCGTGGCCCTCGCGGCCGGCCTGTGTGTGTGCGCAGGCTACGACGACAGGCTGCCTCTGCTGACGTCAGAGACGGCCTGGAGCCTGCCTGGAGCCTGCCTGGAGCCTTCCTGGAGCCTGCCTGGAGCCTGCCTGGAGCCTGCCTGGAGCCTTCCTGGAGCCTGCCTGGAGCCTGGCTGGAGCCTGCCTGCAGCCTGGAGGCAGTGCCTCGCGGCGCTCGTGGCTTTCTATGGGCGGAAGGGAAGCCCCGAAGTCCGCCAGTCCACCGCACTCTCAGTCACCGCGAGTCTCTGAATCCGGTTTCGAATGCCGGGCCGCGTGGAAGGGGAAAGGGGAGGGGCCCTAACCGCGATGGCACCTGAAGATGACGCGCACCGCGGACGCCGACAGACTGAGAGTCGTTTTCGTCGCTCTGTCTCTCTCGCACTCATGGGGCGTCCCGTACATGTGCGAGAGAGACAAAGCGACTCTCGGAATCAGTCTGCTGACTCAGTCCAATCAACCCTGGCCTGACGGACGAGCCTGACGGGGATGCGCGAAGCGGGCGAAGCGGGGCCGGACGTTGACTCGTTGACTTGCGCTCAAAATAAAGTTTCCGAGTGCTGCTCCGCTCCGTTCGGTCGCCGAGCAGGCGGAGAGTCCTCGATCATGACGAACGAGTGCGGGAGAATTCGAACAGTGTGGTGTCGCTGTCTCTCTCGCACTCCTGCGGAACGGCCGCGAGTGCGAGAGAGACAGCGACACTGCAGAGCGGCTTTCGATTAGCAGGGCGTCGCCAAAGCCTCGGCCAAAGCAGCCCAAGGGCCGATCCGGTGGCAGATCGTTTCGCCAGTTTCGCTCTGTCTCCGTCGCACTCGTGGGGACTGTCGGAGGAGTGCGGGACTGTCCAGCCGCAGCCGCACGAAGGGCCGGCCCACTGTGCAGCCGTGCCTCGGCCAGCCTCGGCCCTGGTCCGCGTTGAACGAGGTCACCGCGTAGGATGGGTCATGATGCCACGGGCTGTGCCGCGGAGGTCCCCGCCGTCCGAAGGGTCAAAGGACCGAAGGGCCGCAGCGCGCCACGTGTGTGTGTGTGTAACAGTGTAGCGGACAATCACAAAAATGGCTCTCGGCTGGGACTGGACTTCCGGGCTCTTCCGGCGGTCAGTACTTTCGGCTGCGTCCGGATGGTCCGGATGGCGGCCACTTCCGCGGACTCTTTGGAATCTTTCGGACGGCGGGGACGTGTGCTGGCATCGCCATGGCGAGGCCAAGACCTTCCGGAGTCGGCCGAGGCGAAGGTCAATCGATGCGCTCGGAAGCACGACGACGGCGATGTCGTGCCGCCGCGCCGCATGCGTTAGTGGAGTGGACACAGGGGACTTGCCAGAAGACCGGCGGAGGCGGTCGAAATACCGGACGCGTTTTGAGCTCCAGAGTCGCTGAATGGGACTCGAACCGAACGCGTGACCCCACCGATGGATTGCTCTCCGAACGAGGAATCCATTGGTGGGGTCACGCGTTCGGTTCGAGTCCCGTTCAACGACTCTGAAGCTCAAAACGCCTCTAGAATTTTGTCCGCCTCCGCCGGTCTTTTGGCAGTCTTGGACAGTCAGGCACTCTCTAAAAGTCTTAGGGTCTTAAGGCCGCGGAGAGAGCTCCCGCTCGCAATGAGTCTGCAGGGGCCTCCACTGCAGGCAACGCACCTCCGCGCCGTAATCGTGTGTTATTCCCCGGCCGCCGCCTATCGGCCACACTGTTAAGGCATGCCACGTGCCGGCAGCGGAAACGCCCTCGGAAACACCCGGGATCGAGACGAGTAGCTCTCTCCAAATCGCAATAACTCTCGCGTCAGCCCGCGTCAGCCTCCGCTTGTAACAAGTGCGACGAAGACGGAAAAATTTCGGCGCTGGCCACCAGTGTACCAGCCCAGGGACCACACACTAAGTATAAGGCATGTGTTTTGTCCCACGAGTTTGGCAGTTGCAAGCACATCCGACGGTGGACGGCCCTGTACAATTTAGTTCCGCCTGATTGTCCAATGACAGTGACATTTGCAAGTGGCACGGGGCAGTCAATACGTGACTTTCAGAGTTGAAACGGACCGTCCCTGTTACCATCGCACCCCACCCAGCTTTTTATTGACACTGCCCCTGCACCGTTAATTAGAGGCTAATTAGCCTCCGCACACGGCGGTGCGCCGCTGCGCCGCCCAGGTGGATTCCCCTCGGCGCCCTCATCAATCGACCGGGGCATGCCCTTGCAGGGCGGCAGGGCGCGGGGCGACATAGACATAAGCGGGGCGCGCGGTAGTCCGCGGCCTTGGCGCCAGGGGGCACGGCACGGCACGGCACGGCCCGGTACGGTACTGTACCTAGGCTCACGGAGAGCTCCTCCTTGCTGAGATCCACCTCCTCATTCATGACCCTTGGCGATGATCCGCGATAGCGTGGTCCGGCGGCGCGGCGGGACGGCGGCGCGGCTCGGTGCCGGTCGGTACCACTCGCTGCGGCACACTGCGGCGAGGCGCGCGTCACCAAGCCCGCGAGGCCCGCGATGACAGTCCCAGAGGCGCGGCGGCGGCGGCGCGGTCCGCGGTCGGCGGCGAGACTGGACAGACTGGCTGGGCTGGGCTACTCCGCGGCTCCGCGCTCGCGCCGCCAGGCCGCCAGCACCGCCAGCACCGCCAGGCCGTAGTTACGCCCGGCGCCTGTCTCCCTCCGCGCGGCCGCCACGCCACGCCGCGCCGCGAGTAGTAGTCGGAAACGCCCGCGCGTTCATCGAATTTCGAGTTCGAGCACGAACAACACCTCCACATGCGCGGCAAAGGCGTCACAGGCGGCCGCGGGGAAGGCCCAGCGGCCCAGCGGAGGGCGTTTCCGCCGCCGCTGTCTCTCTCTCTCTCTATCTCTCTCGCACTCATGGGGCGTTGCGCAGGGGTGCGAGAGAGACAGAGCGACTGGACAAATGGATCGCCAAAGCGTGCGACCCGCGTGGCGTATCGACGGCTGCCTTCCTGGCGACGGCGATTTAGTGCGCCGGAGAGCACGGCACGCTCCAGTACAGTCCGGCGCCGTTCACACGTCGTAACGTGGAGTGGACAGTCTAGACGCCGGGCGCTACGCCGCGGCCCGCGGCCCGCCTGCGTCGGCCAGGACGGTGGAGTAACCAAAGTGAAAGGCGGCAAGGCGGCACGGTGGTTCCGCCCGAACCAAATGGGATGCCCCGGGGCGTGGAGAAGAAAGCATAAAGAAGACGCCGAGTCGAGCGTTCCGACTACTTTTCCACGAGCAGCTAGGAGAACGATTTGCATGCAGTGCGCACACACTCCGTTAAAGTCGCGAAAAAAAAAGGCAACAAAAAGTCAATTTAAGGCGCGCAGGCCGGAAGAAAGTTGTGTACCATTTTTATTTGAGAAGTAAACCGAGGAAAATGTTGACGTGCTTTGGGGATTCCGCGTCCGAGAGTGGAATCCGATCACGTCACTCCACCCACTCCAGCCATGAAGCTGAGTTCACCGCCACTTTCAAATGAGGCGCCAAATCCAGGGCACTCTGTTTTGTTTTTGCGTTGGGGGGGAGGGGGAGAAAAACGGGGTGGGGGAGAAAAGGGGGGTGGGGGAGAGGGAGGAAGTCCAGCACAGCAGAAGACATGGCAGTGGTGAATTTGGACACCACTGAAATGGAGAATAGTTGTCCTCCCCAACAAAGATTCTTGTGGTCAGACGCTGAGACTGAATATTTTTTGAAGCTGCTAGCTGAATATCAAGTCACACGCCACCTCGAATACAGGAAATATCGAAATGCTGGGGTGTTTCAGGTAATCCCTGTTGTTAACCTAGTGTTGTTTGGCAACACATTAGTTTTTGAACTTTGTCCAAATTGTGTGCTGGGTCAAAGTTGCTCCAAATATTTTAAATTTTGTTCTTATTTATTGAAAAATATTTTAAATATTTCACTTTTTACAGAGTTTTATCTTTATTCATTTGTAATTATTTTATTACAGTTTCTGTTACTCACCTCTCTCTTGTTACAGGCTTTGGAAGGACCCATGCGTGAAGCGGGTTATAAACGAAACTTCAACCAACTCCGAATTAAATGGAAAAATATGAAAAAAACCTTTGTAGAAGGTAGACGATTAGATGCTGCTGGATCACTCCCATACTCGGCTTGTCCTTTTTATGACCAGCTTTATGGATTATTAAAAAATGATCCTTCAGTTTGTCAAAAAAGTGCTTGTGGGGAAGACACACCCACAAACTTCGACATAGTTGATGCCAGTACAAGTAAGCATTGCAAAACTCTTCTTTGTTTGATACATTTTAACAAATTTTAGCAAGAGTGTTTAATTTATTTATTCAGCTCCAGATTTTAGAGATGACTTAGAAGAAAGCCATGAGGAGTCAGCTTTGGATTTATTCAGTAACTTCAGTAAAACGACTGAAGTGAATGTTAAAAAGGAATTTTTAGACTTAAACGAACTACCTTGTGCTGAGCCAAGTGAACCAGTTCAGAAGTTAAAGTGTCTCCAAAATGCAGATCCTGATGAACTCTTTCTGGCTATGATATTGCCTGATATTAAGAAGCTTTCAGCTCCGAAGAAGAGGAAAGTAAAAATGGAAGTTCAAAGATTACTTGATGACGCATTAACCGAAGAGGACCAGTAGCTCAAACCGTGTGGGCTTATGATTTCCATCATTTTTCCATTCCGTGGAAGAGTAACTTTTCCTTATTCCTGGTTATTTTTGTAAAATGTCGGTGTACTTCCCACCACTTTCTTTTGTATTTGATTGTATTTGCCCTCTTAAACTGAAATCTTTTGACTTGAGCATTATTCTTCTCCCTTCCTCCACCGTACACACAGAAAGACGATGACATTGCACTACAGTACAGTACCATGGAGTATTGTCCCCGTTCAAATCAGTCTTGCTTCAATCGGTCGGCATGGAGTAGACCAAAGTGTTGAAGGAGCGCGCCGGCAGCACCACGCTGGTCGCCCCGACCCTCGGGTCCCTCACGCTCACCGACGTGTCGCTGTCGCCGCTGGAGGGAGGGAAAATAAATTGCGAACCCGGAAAGGAGAGGAAAAAGCCACCAGACGGCCGCCCCGCCGCCTGCCAATCAGAGGATAGGCAGCCTGTTCGACAGGCGCGCGGGCTGTTTGCCTAGCCAGCAGGCGCTAAGCCTCAGACAAATCATCATATACGTATTCGGATGCAGTGCACAGTGGGCCAGAAGACCAGTGGAGGCGGCCCAAATTCTAGACGCGTTTTGAACTCCAGAGTCGCTAAATGGAACTTGAACCGAACGTGTGACCCTACCAACGGATTGCTCTCGGAACGAGGAATCCATTGGTGGGGTCACACGCTCGGTTCGAGTCCCCTTCAGCGACTCTGGAACTCAAAGCGCGTCAAGAATTTTTGCCGCCTCCACTGGTCCTCTGGCCCACCGAGCAGTGTCGGCGGTACCCACGCGTTGTGCATGACGACCACCACGTCGTTCTGCGGCGTGAGGAAGGCCACGGCGTCCACGTCGCTGCGGGCCGCGATGCCGGACAGGCCCTGCTCGTCGGCCGTGCCCTGGCCACCCTGGCCCGGCGCCACAATGGCGTCCTGGCGCTCCACCTGCAGACGCACGCGCACCGAGCCGCGCGGCACGAAGCGCGAGAAGTGCGCCATGGCGTAGTACGTGGGCTGCAGCAGCACCTCGTCGCGCGCCGCGTCCACCATGACGCCCACGTCCACGAAGTTGGACGACCAGGACGGGCCGCCGCGCGTGTCCAGCACCAGCGACCACTCCATCCATCCCGTCACCCACGAGTTCATGTCCTGTGCAGCCGTGAGCAAAGCGAACGCAATCAGACAAAAAGAAGGCAATCGGCTCCTCCCTGGGCCTGAAAGGTATAGAGAAAAGGCGACACATTGCCCCTGCAAGGAGGCAGAAAGTGCTACTTTGTCCCTTCCTCGCATGCCAATGCTGGATCCACCGCTGCACTTGCCTTGAGGATGTCCGTCATGTACTTCTGGCCCCGTGTCCAGGACCCCAGCTGCACTTTGACCAGGTCCCACGGCTTGTCAGCTGCCAATGCAAAGACGTCTCAAAATGGAGCAGGTACAAAATCAGCCCCCGAAGCGCCCGCCGCCGATGCTGCAAAGAGCCTACCGCTGCTGGCCTCCGTGCTGATGAGGAACTTGTCGGGGAAGTGCTGGTGCGTGGCCTCCAGCCCGATGCGTGGGTCCATGAGGTCCCAGTACCAGTGCACCGCCACGCCGTCCACGTAGTCCTTCACCTTGGGGTCACGGAACATCTAGAACAGTAGAAATCGGACATTGTGGGCCAATGGACTGGTGGAGGCGGTCAAAATTCGAGACGCGTTTTGAGCTCCGCTAAATGGGACTCGAACCGAATGCGTGACCCCACCAATGGCTTGCTCTCCGAACGCGGAATCCATTGGTGGGGTCACACGTTAGGTTTGAGTCCTGGTTAGCGACTCAGGAGCTCAAATCGCGTCTGGAGTTGACGCTGACCATGTCCAGCCACCAGGGCAGCAGCATGCGCTGGTCGTCCAGGGCCAGCAGCTTGGTGGCGTTGAAGGCGGAGCGGCGCAGCGTGGGGCCGAAGTGGCGGCCCAGCCAGCGGCGCTGCGTCATGGGCGTCCACCCCATCGAGTTGAAGCGGATGAGCAACGGCGTGAAGAAGGCGTTGATGGGCTCGTTGCCCGTGGTCACGGCCCAGACGGCCACGCCGCGCGCCGCGTACTCGGCCAGGAAGCGCACGTGGTAGTCCGCCCACGCCTGGTACATGTCGGGCCGCAGCACCCCGCCCACGAACTGGTTGTTGGTCTTCATCCAGGGCGGCGCCGTCCACGCCGACGCCATGACCCTCGTCTTGCCGCCCGACACCCGGCTCGCGTTCAGCAGCACGGGGATCTGCGGAGCGGAGCGGGCAGGTTCCAAGTCAGCAGACTGATTCCGCGAGAAGTTTTCGTCGCCGTGTCTCTCTCGCAATCATGGGGCGTCCCGCCCTGTCTGTCTCGTACCTATACGGGACGCCCTATGATTGCGAGAACGACGAAAACAGCCTGCTGGACAGTGCAGGCACGCCGGGTCACCTTGTACAGCACGTCCTCCTCGGCCAGCTTGAAGTTGGCCAGCGTCGCGTCGTCGGGGGTGTCGTCGTACGTGTACTTGCGCACCGAGTCGTCCGTGCCGCCCATGGGCACACGCAGCAGTGTGTACGCGTTGCCGGTCTCGTGGAACAGCGCCCTGCCGAGCAGTCACGGGTTCAAATACCAGCCCCGCCCTTTTTTCCCTCGCGGGGTTTGATTTGCGCGGTTACCTCATCAGGACCTCCCTCGTAGCGGGACTCAGCTTGTGGATGTTGATGGCGGTGGAGTCGGTGATAGCGCCGCCGAAACCTTCCACCGTCTGGTACTTGGTGACGGTGTCCACGGCCATGCGCACGGCGCCGCGCGCCCACACCGTGCGCTCGCTGTCCTTGTCCTTCCCCGCGCCGGCCACGGCCGCGCCCGTCGCGCCCCGAGCGTACGCGTTGGTGAAGTTGCCGTCGGCGCGGTGCAGGCGCATGCCCGCCTTGGAGCTGGTGTAGAGCCAGAAGGGCGTGGAGCTGCCGTCCGCGGGGCCGGGGCTGCGGCCGCCCGCCGGGGGTCCCTCCAGGGCGCCGCACTGGGTGGCGTTGCACACGCACACCACGCTGCCATGGCCGTAGGAGCGCGTCACGCAGCCAGCCCACGCTGTAAAAAACAAAGCGAAAAAAAACACGTTGCAATTCTGAAGGATTTCACCCATCGATTTCACCCTGAAATGCAGAGCAGACTGACTCCGAGAGTCGTCCTCGCTGTCTCTTCGGGTGCGAGAGAGACAGGGCGACGATAACGACTCTCGGAATCGGTCTGCAGCTCTGGTTCAAGCTCGCTTACCGGTGTCCAAGACGGCGGTGGTCAGGACGGCGACGAAGGCGGCGACAAGGACCATGGCGCGTCTGACCCTCTCTCCCAGGGCCGGCCGGCCGGGCAGGCTGTCTTATACCTTGTCGGCGGCCCGGAACAGTTTGGAGATAACGGACTGCCAAACGGCATAACGTGTCGATAGCGCGGGGGCTTGCCTTGCTTGCCTTGGTGTTCCAGTAATAGGTTAACGAGGCTGCCTCCGAGTCGGCGGGGAGTGTCCGCGAGCCGCCGCGGACGCAGCCACTCCGGAAGGATAACCGTGTCACTTTCGGCAGTAAAAAGGCAAAGACCGACGGATCAGTCGCACAAGAAACGACCCCGCCTCACCACGGGTCTCTGTGGCCGTGACAGTGGCGGAGCCAGATGCGGCCTGGAAAACAAGTGGAAGGGTGGTACTTTTTGCCTTCTTGCCGAGGCAAAGGGTTCGCCTACCTTTCAGGCGGTTAACCAGAAGTGGCAGCGTTGCCCACTGACGAGGGAGTTCCTTCCGCGGCGTGCCTGAGAATGTCAAATGCGATGGCTCGCCTGAAGGCCTCCCTCCCGGGTGTTAAAATGCAGGAGAACTTTGGCAGGGACATGGGACGATAAAACCAGTCTGCATACCATATCATATTTTCTCTTCTCTAGGAGAGTATTTTTATTTTATTTTGTCTTGTAGTTCTCATTCATCATGCATTCATACAGGAAGTCTATGGGGATTGATTAACACGAAGAGGCACACAATTGGATACTTACAACGAGTTAAAATAATATGATCAGAGCAAGGGGGTTTGTTTAGAAGAGACCGAGGGAGTAACGACGGTAATCCGGCTAACACCAACTTGGTAATCCGTAGTCCGGGTAATCCGGGAAAATTTTGAGGTAATCTGGGGTAATCCTGCGTAATCCAAAGGTAATCCACGATAAGTTTTGTTGTAATTCGGATGTAATGCAGGGGCAAATCCGTGTAATCCGTAAGCCGGCTGACACGAAATTAACCAGTCGTTGCCCCCTTGGAAAAGACAAACAGTCCAAAGAAAAAAACAACACTGGCTAGGAATCCTTAACATTCTTACCAAACAAATTGAGTAATTAATTGAATTCAATGTTTCAAAGGCATCTTAGACAGGCCTGTTACTCCAATGTTCAATTATTTGTAGATAATGGTGCTCCTAACACTTATTACAAACAGAAAGAAAAATTTTCTGATTGATTGCAAGTATACTTATGATAAATATCCTAAAAAAAACAAAAAAAACAAACAATATAACAACAACAATAACAATCCATAATACCGAGAAATGCGCTCTGTACCACAATCTTATTGCTCCCTGAAACAAAATAAGAAAGTACACAGCTAAGAGTGAACTTTGGAGAAACTTTAACATGGCTTATTTTGCATAGGGTACTTATTGCTTTATACAACATTGTTATTAAATAAGGCAGATCTACACAAATATGATATAAATGTGATTATTTTAGATTGTCTGTAAAGCATAACATTAAAAATGCAAGTTACTGCCTTTTGACAGCAGTCACAGATAAAAAGAGATTTCATTACTGTCTGCCAAGCTCGCAAAGAATGGAAAAGGATCTTTGTGAGCTTGTGAATATTAATAGCAGCTAGATCAATTTCATTTAAATCACAAATGATTTAGACTTATTTGTCTCAATTGCATTACAGTGCATTGTCTTAAATGCAAACTAAAGCACCAAATGCTAAAAAAAAAAAACATCCCAAAATTATCACAGCTTTTTAACATCTACGAGCAAAAGAAAAAGACAGTAATACTTGTTTGCTGTTGCATCAAATGCTCTTCCCCAATAGCAATCAGAAGTTGAATACTAAAATGAAATATTCAGCTGATGTCAAAGACACCTGAGGCAACCATTTGTCTTGAGAGCCAATCCAGCCCTTCATGGAGGCCAACTCCACTCTGAGCATCACAGGCTTGGATATGCCAATTCCGACCACAGCATAATTTGTTCAGCGTAAGCTCATCAGTAACTCTTTCAATTGACTCACTGTCCGCTAGATCCTGAAAACACAAAGGTACAAAATCATGGAATTTGTGACATTTTCAAACCAGATGAGATATAAAAAAGTACCTGTTTATTGGCAAGAATCAGCAGAGAGGCATCTTTCAGCTCCTTCTCTGAGATCAGCTTGGCCAGTTCACATAGAGCCTCTGGAAATCTCTCTGGTTCACTTGAATCCACCACAAACACAACAGCCTGGAAATAGAGGGGACCAAGTGAGAAAAGGTGGGTAACATTTATTTATCTGACACTCAAATTAAATGAATTAAAGTTACCATACCTGTGTGTTGAGGTAATAATGCTTCCACAGAGGTCTCAGCTTGTGCTGGCCACCAACGTCCCACACAGTCAATTTAAGATTTCTGTACTCAAGGCTTTCAACATTGAACCCAATTGTTGGTATCTCTGCTGTAAATTCGTTTTGTTTCAGTTTGAAAAGAATCGAAGTCTTTCCTGCTCCATCCAGACCTAAAAATACTACTCGCATTTCTATTTTTCTCCCAATGTGAACTCTATTATCCTGCAATGAATCAGAACAGTCAATTTAACGGTAATTAATAAATCCTACTGTATTTAACCTTTTTAAAAGTACCTTGGTGAATGTTATTGGTATGCATGGCTCTGGATGCAACTGCTCTGGGGACAGCTCGGAAAGTTGCTGCTGCTGCTTCTCAATTGACAACAAGGCCTCCTTTATTTCTCGTGCAGCCACGATAACTCGGCCGTCGTCTTGTTGGATTGCTTGTTCACATTGCAAAGTCGCGCAGGCAACCTGGCTCAGCCAAGACGCTAAGTCGGTTTGCAGTTGCTGCAGCGTGCAAAGTCGCTGTCGAAGGTGAGCATCTACAGCAGTCAGAGCTGCGGCCTCTTGCAACTCCAGGGAGTCTCGGAGCTGTTGAAAAAAGTCCTGGACTCGAGCTCGGGCAAGAGCAGCAGTGCCTGGTCGACCCTCTGAGACACTCGCCACATCTGAACCTTCCAGCCTCTGAGCAACATTGTCTGCAAAAATATTTGAATGGAAATTGAATTGATAAAAAGAAAAGAGTAACCAGTAACCAGAAAAACACACATTATTTTGAATTCATACCAATTCTATGAACAGCCTCACTCATTTCTTCCATCAGCTTCCGAACATGCTGCATGGCATTAACCACTGATGATCGGATGTGCTCAGCTTCCACTTCCACAAGACCGTGCTGATGACAGAGAAATTTAGTTAGCTTTGGAGATTGAAGCTAGATAAATGTCTTCTCATTATAATAAACATTTCAGACCTTATGAGACTTGTGCCTCCCATAATCTTTGCATATGAAACACAAAAGGCGGCTGCTCCCAGGTTCCAATGCCTGGCACTCTTCTTCAAGGCACACAAATTCTGCAGGATGAGCTGGATGAGAAGGACACTTCGGTTTCTCTCTGTAAAAGTATCACAAAACAAACCTCCATTAATATTACAAGGAAAGTTAAGTAAATTACAGACAGAAGTTTTGGGAGTCCAATATACCTTGGTTTTTCAGAGAGGGGAACTCTGCGATGTTTAGCCAGTGTTCGTGTAGAGTGGGTAAGCTCAGAACATTCTTCACAGAGATGTGATCCACACACAGTGCAATATAAAACAGCCACGTGACTTTCATCTTCATCACAGTTTACAGCTAACTGAAAAGTTACATTTAAGGTTATCTATATCGATATCAAAATATCTTGTAATGAGGTGAAGCTGACTGAAAGATAATAGAAACACACCTTTCTTTCCAATTCTAGTGCTTCTGCGGATAGGAAAAATGATATTGCTGCTTTGTCCGAAGCATGTTGGAGGCGTTCAAGGAGTTCCAGCAAAGAAAAGTTTTTCTTTAATCCCCAAACACCAGAGTTCCCTGGAAACAGAAAGGCAAAATAAGAAAACAATAATGTGACAGTCAAAAAGATAAGAATAAAATGTTTCTTTGAAAAATCACCTACCAACTGGTGTAGGCTGGCGATCAAATGGGCACAGGATTGATGCCTCCTTTTGAGGCAGTCGCATCAGGCAGGCATGGCAAACAGAGTGCCCACAATGAAGTAATCGTGGAACTTTGTCTCCTTGAATGGCGAATATGTCTTCGCAAACACGACACTCAAGAACCTGTATCAAAGAGGGACATCAATGTTAGCGACAAATTCAGTATTTGAAGAGGTAGGAATCACCAAAAGAAATCCAAAACACAACCGAAAAGATTCTGGGCTCCATTGTCAACACAGGCATTGAATCAAAAATCTAATGAAAGTCTAGATGAAAGGTTAAATTGATCCAAGTGACGCCAAAGCTCGAAAGAAACCTAACAATGGATAAATACTGTAATTTAGAAGAAAAATGGCGCTCTTAAAACCAGGAAAACACTTTAGACAAAGCAATAACACTTGCTGATTATTATGATCAGACGAACATAACCTGCTTGAGGCACCTCCTTAAACTACGCCCCCTGAGACTTTCCGACTGGTCTTTGATCACGACAGATGCATCCTGGACTCACATTATTTTTCGAGTTCATTTTTGACATCTCGTAGAAGCTGGGTCCTTTCTTGTCCATTTGCTGTCCAACATAGACAAAGCAGACGAAAGGGGATGGAGGCCCCACAGAGGCGATTTCATTGGGTGGGGAGTCTCTCCTCTCTCCCGGCCAGCCGCGATGCCAGCCGATTGGTCGAGCCTGGCAGGAAGTGTGTTGAGGAGGGAATCTCTTTCCGCCTCCCGTCGAGAGCGCGGGGAATTCAAACTGAACACCACCTCTCGCCTTGAGAGGAAAAGGGGAGGAGTGCACGCTGCCGCTGCCCGTGGGCCGAGGTCTGTCGCTTCCAGAGCTTCCGCCGATCGCCGCCAGGAGAGGACACTTGGCGCTAGGGTCGCGCCGAGCCGGTCGTCTGCGGGCTCGAGTCTGCAGGCGCGGAACCACATTTTGGTGCATGCAACTATGTGAAAACTAAACGCGTGAGACCCAAACAGAGTATCGCCGTGGGTTCTTCAGAGCTTTAAGTGGTGGAAGATTATACAAATAAGTAGAATCTTTTCAAATACAACGCAAAATAAATGAAAACTGTCAGTAAGGTAGCCGCCAAGAGCGCCCTCCGTGGCCAACGGCGAATGGTGGAAGCTCTGGAAGCGACAGACATCGGCCCACGGCTCCGAACGGCAGTTTACGGCAAATTATTTATATTTAGGATTTTTTCTCTCAAAATTTAAGTTGATCTTCCACTAGTTCAAGTATTTCTGTATTCAAAAAAAATTGCCCTTGACTCTTTTGAAATCAGCCGTAGCCTAGCGAACCTGCACCAATTAGGTCTGCATTTTCGACCTACTTCTCCTCCCCTGTTCCTCCAAGCTCTCGCAGAGGCGGCATTTAGCGCCTGTGAGGTAGGCCACCGCCCAGTCCCGCAACACACCATTGTGGAGACGGTGGCCTACCTTGCCCCTGCGAAGACGACAGGCGCGAGGTAGGCCACCGTCTCCACACCGGTGTGTCGCGAGACTGGGCGGTGGCCTACCTCACAGGCGCTAAATACCGCCTCAGCGAGAGGTGCTCTAGTGGAGCGCAGCTGGTGAATCGAAGCGATGAAATATAGAACCGGGACCGAGGGATGATTGAAACAGCGCTTGTGTGTCGGGCGCTTCGTGGCCACGAACAGTGACGCCGGTAGGAGTCCTCGGTCCGGGACCGCCCGGCGGCCAGGCAACCCTTGACGCGCCGCGGCGTGCCGGGCGTCATGTGGGCTGCCTACCTGGCCGGCGGTAGGCAGACTGACGCGCACCGAAGTTTAAAGGGGCGCTCCGCAGAGCCATTTCGGACGTCGCTTTCGTCGTTGTCTCACTCGAACTCATGGGGCGTTCCGCCTTGGTGGGAGAGAGACAGAGCGACGGAGCGCTGTGTGGACAATCAGGCTGCTCGAGCACAGGAGCGGCGCCGCTGGAGGCGGAGGCTCGTCCGAGGCTCGTCCGAGGCCGGACCTGAACTCGGTCGCCGAGGAGATGGTCACGTCGCACCTGACTGAGTACCGGTCGACCGGGGGACCGGGGGACCGGGGCACGGGGCAGAGAGCAACAAAGACAGGAAGAAGAGAGAGACGGGGCGAGCCCAGGGCGGCCCCAGGGCGGCGCGCGGCGTCGGAACGCGGAGAGGGGGGCACGGCGTCGCGGCGCGGGGGCCGGCGGGGGGCGTGGCGGTGGGGCGTCGACGGGGAGGGGCCCCGCGCGCGGCCCCCGCGGCCCCGCCGGCGCCTGCCGGTGGCTCCGGCAACTAGTGGCCGTGCCGCCGCACCGCCGCGCCGCGCGCCGTCAGTGAGTACCCAGGCTCCGTCCCCGACGCACCGCGCCGCCGCGTACCCGCCTGCCGTCGCGACGCCCCAGCCGTGCCCGCCGCGCCAGCACGCCGCGAGTGTTGTTGTTGTTGTTGCTGCAGCCGGCCAGAGGATTACCGCCACTTGTTGTAGCCCAGAGTGCTCAAGATGATGACGGAGACAGCTGTCACGGTGACGACGTCACACCCCCAGCACGCACAGCAGCACCCCACCGTCAAGACGGACCCCGGACAGTCGCCGGGCAACCTGTCATGGATGCGCATCAACATCAACTACTTCAAGACCGTGCCCGGCATCCTCAAGCTGGTGCAGGCGGTAAGAATAACGAATCGTGGAAGCGCGAGGGCGGCGTGCGAGTCGACCCGGTGTCTCCCACCACCACTCTAGGGCTCTAGTGGGAGAGAGACGGACAGTGGGTCGGATAGCCGGCGGAGGCGGTCAAAATCCCGGACGCGTTTTGAGCTACAGAGTCGATAAACAGGACACGGACCGAACGTGTGGCCCCTCCAATGGATTGCTCTCCGAACGAGCAATCCATTGGTGGGGTCACACGTTCGGTTCGAGTCCCGTTTGGCGACTCTGGGGATCAAAACGCGTCTCGAGTTTTGGCCGCCTGCGCCGGTCTTCTGGCCCACCGTGAGACGGGGCACGCCATGCCGGCGGGGGAAGTACCGGGGGCACAGCAGGGCAGGCAGGGCAGGCAGGGCACAGGCAGCCCAGCCACTCGGGTTGATGACTAGCCGCGCAGGTGCCGCCTGCCGCCAGGGCGCAGCCCGAAGCGCCAAGCCACGCCAAGCGTGGTGGAAACAAGGCGGATTTTTATTACGGGGAGAGCATACACTGCAAAAAGCATTCCTCCTGGCTTTTCTATTCCAATTTAAATGGGGCTCCGATACACTCACTCACTCACACACACATGCACACACGCCTACCTACTGTGTCGCCCCGCGGTCTCCACGCAGCCGCCGGCTCACACCGCTGCTCGCCACTTCGGGAAGCCTTCGGCATGATGAATATAAATGGAGCGTAATTTTTGCCGCATTAGGGGGGCTCAGGGTCGCTGCGGCGGCGCGCCGGCGCCCCGGCCGTGTGGCGCCGAAGCAGCGAAGCGGCGAAGCACGCCGAAGTGGAGGAGACACACCGATCGGTTCTTCCCGGAGTGTGTGTGTGTGTGTGTGTGTGTGCGCGCGCGCTGGGAAATCACGGAGGCGGTGCGGCGATTCGGAATGATAGTTGGGGATTGCGGCTGCCGCTGGTTGCCCCTGCGTTACGCCGTTACTGCGTGTGCACTGGGAGCGACGGCGGAAAAAGTAGAAGTATATTGTTGCCGAGGGCTTTAGTCCAATATTTGCCTTGGCGTGATAGACCGCCGGCTGCTCGGCTTGTTTTTACAGTGTAGTGCCCGGCCGGCCGGGTTGACAGGTCAACACACACCGGCAGGCATGCCGCGGCGGTGGTGGGTCTGGGCCTCGGGGGTGTTGCCCTGCTTTGCACTGCTTGCCTCCTCGCAGCCTGGCAGCCTTCGCACAGTGGGCCAGAAGACCGGCCGCCTCCACCGGTCTTCTGGCCCACTGTGCTTCGCCACGGCCCGACAGGCGCGGATCCAGGAAAAAAGGGGTGGGGGAAGGAAAATTGCACCCCCATCCCTTTTGGCCCCTAGATAGCCGCCTGAAAGGTGGACAGAAAGAGCCACTTTGCCCCTCCCCCAAGCCGACCCTGGATCCGCCACTGCGGCCTGCGGAGCGCTGCGGAGCGCTGCGGAGTGACCCCCACGTCCCGGACGGCGCCCCGCTTCCCACAGGAACCTGCCGGCCAGCAAGCCTCTGGCGAAGAATCGCGCCTCTGTCTCTGTCGCACCCTCACGGGGCGCCCCGCGAGTGCGAGAGAGACAGAGCGACGAGGCGACCGTTCGGATTGAACAGCCTGCGGCCGAGGAGGCGAGGGCGACACGCATCCGTCCACCTGCAGTAAGGAGCCGGGACTTAAGGATTTAATTGCAGCGTTCTGTTTAAACTGCGTGACTGTACTGTACAGACACATTCCGAGAGTCGTCGCTCTGTTTCTCTCGCACTCATGGGGCGTGCCGTACAGGTGCGAGAGAGACAGACTCTCAGTGTGCTGGCTGGTGCCCCCGAGTGCCCCGGGCAGGGCCGCCTCCGCCTCCGTGACCCGCTGACTTCTGATTATTTTAGAACTCGGACCAGAGCGAAGTTGTATTGTTAGATCCGGACTCGTCGTGCGGCGCCGCGGGGGCAGTCTGCCTGCTGTCTGTCTGTCTGTCTGTCTGCCTGTCTGTCCATCCGCCGGTGTGTTGGATGATGTCACACCTTGGAATACGCGGCTCGTCGTCTTGAGTCGGCCGCGAAAATGAAATGTAGATCACAAAGAGGAAGCTGTTTAAAAGCACGGCCAGGCCTCTGCGCCTCGCTGTGCCTCCACGGCAAGCCCCTCGTTGGCATTCCCCGAGGAGGCCGAACAACTTGTCGCCTGTCCTTTTTACAGTCACATTCAGTCTCATTTTACAATCAAGTTTTCGTGTGATTTCTGCTTTGAAAAGTTTCATAAAGTTGAATTTTGCTTTGAAAAGTTTCATTAGTCGAATTTTACTTTAAAAAGTTTCATAAGTCGAATTTTGCTTTTTTTTGTACGTTGCTGTCCCCTTGCTGCAACGCTGCTGCAGCCTGTCCATGCTGTCCATCGCGGCCCACCTCGTCCTGCAGACGATGCGACGACTGCACGCACGGCCGGCACCGCCCGGCAAAGCCCCGCTCGGCCCAATGAGGCAGCGAGGCAGCTCAAACAACGACAATCGACCATTGTACGCGACACGTCAAAGACAGAGACTTACCGATCCATTGCGCCACCACACGGGGATATTGAGTGTGTGTGTCATACGCGTGCTTTGTGGCACTATTTGCCGCGGCAGGACACTGCTACCTAACGGGCCCTCAAGCCGTCCTCCGCTCCGCGCTTTGGCACCAGGATTCGCACTCCGTTGTCAACTCGTCAACTCGTCGCGTCCATTCCGCTCCGCGCACGGAGCCTGCGTGCCACAGACCCTCTTCAAGGCGTAATAAATTTAACTTTTTCTTAAAGCTTCCGTCCGGCTGGTGACGACGGTGCTCTGCTTGGGCAAGGCGGTGCTGCAGTGGGCTAGAAGATCGGTGCAGACGGTCGCAAATCCCGGACGCGTTTTGAGCTCCAAAGTCGCTAAATGGGACTCGAACCGAACGTGTGACCCCACCAATGGATTGCTCTCCGAACGAGGAATCCGTTGGTGGGGTCACACGCTCGGTTCGAGTCCTGTTTAGCGACTCTGGAGCTCAAAACGCGCCCAGAGTTTTTGCCGCCTGCGCCGGTCTTCTGGCCCACTGTGCGCCGCACGGACGGAAGGTAGTACTCGATGGCCACTGCGCCGAGCCGACTCTAGTGAGCACTCCCCCTTCCCCCTCCAGCCAACCTCCAGCGGCCCCCTCGGACAGGACGGGATCTGTAATGGTCCTGCTTTCCCGGTCGGTCCCCCGGCAGGCTGATTCCCCTTCTCTCTCGCTCGCAGTCGCAGTGCCGGCCCGCACGGGTGCGAGAGAGACAGAGTCACGACGGCAGCCAGTGGCGGTGCCAGCGGCGGCCCGCTGGAGTACCGGTCCACGCAGTCCACGGCACTGTGGGCACTGGCACGCCCCTCTGGCTGCCTTGAACTTGACCCGAGTGTCGTGTGTGTGTGTGTGTGTGTGTGTGTGTGTGTGTGTGTGTGTGCGCGCGCGCGCGCGCGCGCGCCTGCTGTTACTCAATCTTCAATTGCGCCACATTCAGAAACTTGTAAATGCGATTTGGCGAAAGCACAATCATCCCATCTCTATCTCCGTCGAGTGTGTTTTCCATCCTTGTCTGGCCTTTATCTGCGGCACCTCAATCCTTCTCCTCACCTGCATGTCCTCTGCGTCACCCCGCGTCTCACCTGTACAGTGGTCTAACAGTGCCCCTGGCAACGAATCCTAGCAATGAAGAGCCGCGTTGGAGTCACGGTGGTCGAGACTGTCGCCAAAGCGCGCCAAAGTGAGAACTAACGAACGCCTCGGCCGCTTGGAAGCGATTTGGAATCGACGAAGCCGCTCGTCCAGCAGTCGACCTGGCACCAAACACTCACGAAGCAGTCCAAGGATGTCAACTCGTCGAATTTTGACTAAAATTGGTCGAATTGACATCAAATGATGTCACGGTGAGCATTTCGTGTTCTTGGGGCAGCCTTATGGCGATTCACAGAGCCACGCTTACAAACCACTGACATAGACGTAGCAGCAGACAGCAAAAAGGGCGAGGAGAGAGAGAGAGAGAGGGGGGGGGGAAGAGAGCAAATATTTGCGAAGAGACTGAACCACGAAAAGCTGAAAACAATGAGCCAAAGAGCTGGAGAGTTGGCACGGTCGTGCACACTGTTGCGTGGACATCTTTGCTGACACATACACACACCAACACATACACACACAGAGCCGTGGTGGGCGAACGGCGCGGACCACGCGTCTCAACTTCACATCCACATGTATGCGGACACACACACACACACACACACACACACACACACACACACACCACACACACACACACACACACACACACACACACACACACACAGGAAGCTTGTAGGTGTTCCAACAGCAAAGACGACCCCTGCTCGTCGTCGGCAGTCACTGGCATGCGCTCGCGAGGCGACGACGACACGAAGCTTGTGCGTCAGGAGAGAAAGAAATGAATAAATGAAGTATGAAAAGACGACAGTAAATTTTAGCACTCGGAATAAAAATGACTGGATTCCATGTGGAGCTGGGCTGTTGGTTTGGACCAGCCAGACTGCCGCCGCGCTAATCTCGCTTCCTCTGGTCTGGTTCATGACTCGAAGACGCTCGAAGACCAGTGTCAGGATGTCGTGATACAGTCCGTTAAGTCCAGATCTCCTCGGGGGTGTCCATAATTTCGGGCCACTGGTTTCCTTTCCATCGCCTGGCTGCCCGAGTGTTTCCACTTTTCTCAGGAGGCTGCTTCCGGTGGTCGTGGCAAAGCCGCGCGGAATTCGAAAAAGCGCGCGCAAAGTGGAACACAAAGTGGAACACACCCGAGGCGAGGCCGATAGGGCGTGGCCCGGCGTGGCCGCGGCCCTCGACGAATGGTCACGTGACCGATGGTCGTCACTCTCAAGGGCTCCCGGAGAGCTTTCAGGGCTTTCAGAGCTTCTCTGTGTGTCTCAGGGCTTTCGGCCGTGGCCCAAATTCCAGCTCCGTCACCTCCAGAAAAACGTATCATTGATTCGAAGAAATTTG